TAAAAAGGGCCAGAGATGTAGCCCAGTACAAAAGCCGAGTCCAATCCCCAGCACTGCAAAAACAAAAACAAGTAGAAATGACCACCCACTGATGACTGGCTAACAAATCACGGTGTGTCCATGCACAGGAATTGTTGTTGTGATTCAGGACAGGACCTAAGTTCCACACAGGGCCACAGCTGAATCCCACTGAGGCCGGGGCCCCAGCTCAGAATCGAGCTGCAAAGACCCAGATAGGACCTGTTGTGTTTCTTGTGGTTCTAGGCCAATGAGGACCTCTCTGCTGGGTCACAGCCCAAGGACTGAGACAGCAGAACCAAGCCTTTAGAGGCAACAGTCAACAGGAGAGATGGGCTTTAGGAAAACAGTTCAGAAAGCTCACTCGGCACGTGGGTGACCAGAGCCATCAAAACTCTCAGGAGGGGAAAACCTGATCTCCAGAGAGACTGTACCAGAATAAGCAAAACGTCCAGTTTCCAACCAAAATATTGTGCACACCAAAAAACCCAAGAAAGTATGGTCCATTCACGGGGAAAATATGAGAGACACCATCCCAGGTGAGGGGCAGAAATCAGCATTTGCATCCATTGGATCGGGTGTTAAGTCATTTGAGGTGGTTCAAGGTCTGCTGAAGGAGGGAGCTAAATTCCCATTTTATTTATTTATTTTTTTCTGGCACCGGGGAGGGGATTGAACTCAGGACCTTGGGCTTGCAAGGCAGGTGTGGCGCCACAGAGCTAAATCCTCAGCCCAGGTTCGCATTTTAGATAAGAGATGTGTGGCCACAGCCCCAAAGCAACAGGAACAAAGGATCACAGAGCCAAAAATCAGCCTTTCCTCTCTGTGAGTTGGTTATCTTGGGTGTTTGGTGTAGCAGCAGAAAGCAGAATGGCATCAGAATGCAAAACAGTCCGGTCACCTTGGCAAACAGTTTGGCAAGTGGCTTGCAAAGGTCGGCACACACTTACCATACAACGTACAACCCATAGACCGCTTCTAAGTGAATACTGATGAACAATGGTGGGTGCCTGGGGTTGCACTGGAAAAGAACAGGAGAGGGTTTTCGGGGTGATGGGAATGCCCTACATTGGTGATGGTGGTGTGTGTCAAAACTGATGAAGCCGAACAATGGAAACCTGTGTCTGCATGCAAAGATTCTAACTCATGTGCTCACACAGCTTAATTCATAACAGCCAAAACCTGGAAATTGCTCTGGTGTCCAATAGCGGGTAAGTGGGAAAAAAACTATGGTAGAGCTGAAGGACTGCTACTCAGCGATGAAAAGAAAGGAACAGCTGAGGCCCTCAGCAACATGCTGAGCCTAAGAAGCCACCGAGAAAGGGGCACATGTATAGAAAGCTCTTAAAAAGGCAAAAGTGGTTGATGCCTGGGGTTGCACTGGAAAAGAACAGGAGAGGGTTTTCAGGGTGATGGGAATGCCCTACATTGGTGATGGTGGTGTGTGTCAAAACTGATGAAGCTGAAGAGGGATGCAGTGTGTTGTGTGTAAATGAAAGTTCAGTAAAGTCTTGGGGGGCTGGGTTTTTGTTTGCTTTGACTTTCACACGTGGTCTGGCTAAGTTGCTAAATTGCCCAGGCTGGGCTTGAACTTGCAATCCCCCTGCCTCAGCCTCTCAGAGGGCTTGGATTACAGCTGTGTGCCACCATGCCCAACTTAAAGCTTTTGTTTTGTTTGGGGGAGTTGTTTTTGTTGTTTTTTGTTTATTTGGTTGGTTGGTAGGGTTTGTGAGACAGGATTTCACTATGTAGTTCAGGCTTGACTACATTATGTAGCCCTGGTTGGCCTCAAACTGAAGGAGTCTCCCCAGTGCTGGGATTACAAGTGTGTGTCCCCACACCTGGCAAAACTGTTTTTTGAAGTAAATTAATTTTTAAAATATGAGTCGGCAGGCTGACAGGGGAGCAGCTTGGAGTTCAGGCCAGGCGTGAATTTCAAGATATTCTTGAAGACTTTCCCAAACCTATGAGAACATGGGCCTCCTGAGCCCTCACCAAGCCCTACAGAGACCTGAAACCCCATTCTTAACCCTCTACCCTCAACATCCCACTGAACCTGAGGGCTTGAGAGTAAAGACGTGGCATCTCCCAATCATTCATTCACTCACTCACTCATTCAACAAACATTTGGAGAGATCCAACAGTGTATCACCCACAAGTCAGCAGAACAATCCCTCCCAGCCCTTAGCTTCCATTAAATAAACAGAAAACAGATGCTTCCTTTTGAAATGGACTAGGTAATAAAGTAATTGCAGGGCCAGGGATTTAGCTCAGTGGTTTCGATGCCTGCTGCCCAAGTGCAAGGACCCAAGTTCGATCCCTGGTACCAAAAAATAAAAAAATAAAGTAACTTCAAATTGAGATTTGTAGGGGCTGAAATAAAATAGTAATGGGGTGGGTCAGTATGTCTCAGGAAGCTCCAAGAATACTCTGAAGAGGTGAGTTTTTAGCCAGGGACCCTGAGGAGCCAGGGCGGGACCCCTCTTGGCATTCTCAAGGCTCTGAGGGTGCATTGGAAACGTTCACAAACATGAAGCACCTCACCTATCAAAGTCAGAGAAACAGAAGACAGGAGAGACTGAGAGCTTGACTCACAGGACTGAGTGACACATGGGCCATGGCACGAGTCATCCGGGAAGGAAAGGGCCATGGGGGGAACAGAAGGCCACCTTCCTAAGCTTGGGTGCAGCTTTGGATACCAGCTGCCCTGCTGAGGTCTCCATGGTGCCAATTCCAGCTGGAATTCTGCTCTGATTGGACAAGCAGCTAGGCAGGTGTGATGTGATTGGTGGGGCTGTGGGGGACCTTGAGCTGTGATTGGCTGACAGGCCCAACTGTATCCCAGGACAATGGATGGGCTGGGTGCTGAGGAAGAGACCTGGGCAGTGACCCCCAGGATGGGACACGTGTACAGCCAGGTCCCAGTGCAGCGGGTGCTGCTGGTGGAGAGCCAGGGCTGCTCATCCCTGGAGCCAGACCAGGAGAGGGCCTACAGGCCTGGGACTCCATGGTCCTGATTTGTACCTCACCCTCTGGGGCAAGCAGAAAGTCTCAGAGCTGGCAGTCGTTATGAGGAAGCCAAAGAGGATGGAAAGCAAAATAAAAATGGCCTCCCTGGGGTGGGCACAGCTCAGTGGTGGGGCCCTGGCCCAGCATCTGCGAAGCCCTGCCTCCAGCATCGCCAAACAAGACACAAACATCTAAAGCACAGCCTCTCCTGGCCAATCGGACCCTACCAGCCCTGCTGAGAGGAAGGAGTACATCAGAGGCCACCACAGTCACCCTCAGCTCCTAGACTGTCAGCCCAGCAGGCAGTACCACAGTGACAGCAAGCGGTGGCCTTGACAGGTGGCTGGAGTGGCTCTGGCAGCCAAGGAGCACAGAGGCAGGAGTGGCAAAGGGCAGACTCTGGTGACAGATGTGCCCTCCAGGCAAGGCGAAGGCAGCAGGGAGGGGCTATCCTAGTGCAGGGTGACCTCAGCATGATTGTTCGGAAATCAGCACCGAAGGGAGGTAGAAGTGCGCATGCACTGTGTTCCTGGGCACTATGGTTGTCATGCATTTGGAGGCGCGGCTGGCACTGGGGCCGTGTTGGAGGTGGTGGGGCCTTAAGAGGGGGATTGGGGGAGGTTGTGAGGTCATTGGGTGCTGCCTTTGGAAGGGACTTGTATGGTTCCCGTGAGACCCCAGCTTAGCTCTTTCACAAAGAGCAAGGCTGATGTCTCCCTTGCTCTGGCATCTGCCCTGCAATGTGATCTCACCTCTTGGCACACCCTGCAGCCATGAGGCCACCTGCTGTGAAGTGACACAGTCAGGGGTCCTCACCAGAGCCAGCGCCATGCTGTGTGGACTTTCAGCCTCCAAAACTGTGAGCTAAATAAACCTCTCTTCTTTATAAGTTGTGCAGTCTGGGGTATTTCATTATAGGAACAGAAAATGGACAAATACATAGTTTCCCAGAAATCCTCCCAGGGCGAGGGGTCATGGCAGGGGCTGGGCCCTGGGAATACAGAGGGAGCTATTGGCCAGTGAGACGTGGCATGAATGTGTGGAGAGCGGACGCTGTGGATACCCTGCCCATGCCCCGCCGGGTGCTCTGTGTTTGCCTGCTGCTGGCTTCCTGGCCTGAGGGTGGACCCTGCCTCGGTCTTTCTTCTCTCCCGGGCACCCTTTGGCACAGAGAGCTTGGGGGCCACCCGGAAGTGCAGGGGACACACACCCACAGCAGAGTCCTCAGGCAGCTGGAGCCCCATTTCTCACAGGTCCATTCTGAGGTGAGTCCCACAGCTTCTCAGGGCTGCACTGCCCAGCACAGCAACCCCTAGCCAGGAGGGGCCACTTAAATGAATTAAAAATGAATACAAAGTTGGGCATGGTGGTGCACACCTGTTATCCCAGTACTCTGGGAGGCTGAGGCAGGAAGATCGTAAGTTTAAGTCCAGCCTGGGCGCCTTAGCAACTTATCAAGACACTGTCTCAAAAAATAAATAAACAAGGAAACAAAGTATGTCTGTGGATGTAGCTCCATGCAAAGGCCCTGGGTTCAATCCCCAGTACTGCAAACCAAAACAAACACCATCAGTTCAGGTGGCCCTCCATATTCTGGATCCATGAAATCAACCAACTGTGCATTATAGACATTTGAGATTTTTAAAAAATTGCACCTGTACTGAACACGTACATGATTTTCCCCCTGTCATTATGAGTAGTCACACAGGAATACTACAGTATTTCCTATACGGAGCCTGAGCCTGCATGGATCTGGGTATCCGACGGGGTTGGTGGTCCCCGAGCCAGTCCCCCTCAGTGCCACAGGATGGCTGCATGGGTGAAAAGCCATTTCTCAGTCACACTAGCAGCATTGCTGAGACTCAGTAGTCAAATGGCTGCCACGAGGGACAGTGCAGACCTAGATGTGCCCTCCTGCGGCCCAGCATGCAGACTCCTGGGGTCCCTACCTTCCCAGCGGGGGCACAGAGGTTCAGGGCATTGATTCCCCAAGGGCTGCAGCTGCTGAAGAGTTGCACTGGTCCCTGGTGTCCGGGTTCTCACTGCACCCCGGTCGCCAGGCTCTGGGACTGACACAGAGATCCTAAGAACTTGGTGCAATGCCCGATTCCAGGCCTCCGGGCCCAGGGGAGGCAGGCACCTCCCAGCACAGGGCCTCTTCCGGGTCCTGCCATAGGAGACAAAGCCAAGAGCCGACAGGTCCCCCTTCCCTGGTGGATGTCCTGCTTCGTGGACAGGGCACTGGCCACAGTGACAGGATGTGGGGGACATTCTGGGACAGGGCCTTGGAGCACCTCACCCTTGCCCCTGCATTCCCTCTCTCCCTGGAGCCTCCTGAGCAGGGCTGGCTGGGTGGCAGTTGGAGCGCTCAGAGCCATGAGCATCATCCCCAGGGCACTGTCAAAATTAAATTAACATTTTTTCCATTTTCCCTTTATTGCAAACATATTGAACGCTGTTGCACAAACCCATCTTTCTGCTGGCTCCCTCGCCCCCTGGTCTCTTGGCCTGGGCTTCCAGGCCAGGCCTAGCAAAGAGTGGCAAAGCTGGTCTCACGCTCCCTTCCTTGGCCCCAAGACCCTGTTGTCTCCAGAGATGAAGCGAGTGCCAGCCACGGGCACAGGTGTCTGATGCCCTGGTTCCACTCCTCCCATCCCCGGCTGCCAGCCCTTCTGGCTCCCAGGCCTGCATGCTCCCTGCCCTCTCTCATGAGGTCAGAAATCCTGGAGGACACCAAGTTTCCACACCCACCAGCCGTCAGGCCTGCAGAAATGTGTTCTGAACTCAGGCGTGCGGGGCCCAGTACAGCCACCCCAGCTTGGGGTCCTGAGAGAGGGGACAAGACCCGCAGAGAGCTAGGGAATGGGGCACAGCCAGCTCTGAGTCCCCAGCCCAGCGGGGCCACAGTAGGGTGGCACCGTTGCAGTGAGGTAAGCACCCTAGGTGGTAGGGGCACAGGAAGGGCCCTGGAGGTCTTCCCCAAGGGGGGAACTGCTGAGCTGGGCAGACAGTGGGGAGAAAGGAGAGGGGAACACCATCCGGGCCAGGGGAAGGGCGGGTGGAACATAAGGTGGGGGTGTTGGGCTGGAAAGGCGGTCAAGGCCAGCCCTGGTGGGTAGTAGGGAGCCAGGGCAGGGCACTGAGCTGGGGAATGGCAGGGTGAGGTTGGCATTAAAGGAGTTCCCTGGGGATCCTGGATCCCAGTGGACGGCCAGGTGGAGGAGCTGAGGACAGAACACAAGAGCTGCTGAGGTGGATGTCGCAGTGATCCAGGCCGAAGAGGACAGATTCAGAAGGAAGGCCAGAAGGAAGGCGCTGGGCCGGGGTGGCGCTCAGGGGAGGAGCCATCGCTGGAGTGCTGGAGGCCCTGGGTTCCATCCCTGGCCCTGCAAAAACAAATGAGCAAAGGGAAAAGGCAATGGCAGCAGAGAGAGTGAAGCCAGGGAGTCTCAAGGATGGGCCTTGGTAAACTTTGGGGATAAGGAGGGGATGAGGGAGCAGGAGCAGTCTCAGGACGCCGTGGACACTTGGGTCAGCACCAGAAGGGGCAGCAGAGAGCGGAGCCTTGGGCCTGAGCGTGGGTGCCTCACGCTGGCTTTGTACAGCTGTTCTGAGCCCTGGTGAGGATCCGGCTGGCGATCTGGGCTCAGCACGTTTGATGTCAAGCCTTGGGACACAGAGGTGACCCAGAAGAGGACTGAAAACTGAGAGTCTGGGATGGGGGGGGGTCACCAGCAGGGGTGGGATGAGAACGAGGCGCTTGGGAGGGGCGGGGAAGCTGGTGGGCAGGAGGCTGGGCAGCGGGGGACTGGCCAGGTGGGGTGCAGCTCTGTGAAGAAACAGCTGTGGACCACAGGGCGGGGCGGGCGGCCCCTGGAGAAGCAGTGGAGGGCAGTGAAGTACCCAGGGCTGGGTCATCAGCAGGCACAGGACAACAAGAAGCAGCTGTCACAGGAGGCCACCATGTCGTGGGGACATCCGGCCCTGGATGGATGGTTTAGGAATGAGCAATCAGGCAGCCAGGCACGGGCTCTGCACACAGGGAGGCAGGCTGGGGTGGGGGTCCCTGTAATGCAGAGGGGACAGAAGGAGGTCCCCTCCCAGCCACACTCCAACCCCAGATGGTTCTACAGCGGGCACCTGTCCTCCCACCTCTGCTCCAGCCACGGAGCACGGGGTCAGTCGTGAGGTGGGACTGGGGACAGAGTGAGAGCCGCAGATGGGGAAGCTGGAGACCTGGGTGTGAGCCCAGCACCCCCTGTGACTCAGGCCAGACTCTGCCCTCCCAGGACAGCCTCGAGAGGGAGCCTTGGCTTCCATGTCCCTTGAGTCCTGCATTTCAGGTGTGGGGGCTCGAAAAAGCCAGTCCTGGTTGCTTCCAGGATCCTAAAACTCTGTAACATGATTTCTGTGCTGCCGCCAGGGATGGGTCCAGCAGATGGTCTCTCCCCTCGAAATTGCTGTCTGCCTGTCCCCGAGCCAGCCTGCTGCCCCCCTCTCCCTTTAGCTCCGTGCACAGCCAGCCTCGAACATATCCCAAGCGAGCACTTGGCAGGCGGGGGCCGTGATTCACGCCCCCTCCAGCAGGCTTCGTGGCCAGCCCGCCTGCCAGAGTATGCAAGACATTCTTGGCCCGGCTGTTGCCCGCCCGCCGGACAGCCTGCCCGGGATTAACAGGGTGGGGGTGGCTGGGTGGGGGACAGCAGACTGTGTTCTTCGCTCTCTGCAGCCTGGCCGGCGAGGCAGGGGGCGATCAGGCACGAGCTTGTCTGAAGTGGCCGCCAAGCTGGCCGGCCAGGAAACATGGTCCTAAACACCGAGGCCACGTCTGGGACCCAGACAGCAGGGCTGGGGACACAGGGTGCAGGGGGGGAGGGCTGCTGCTACCTGCTCCGTGGCCAGGGAGCAAAGAGCAGCCACGGGTCTGGGGCAAGTGAAGCTGCCACTGTCTTTCCCCCGACCCCTTTCTTCCCCCCATGCCTCTTCTTCTTGGGGGAGCCCCGAACCCCGCTGCCAGACCCCAGGCTTGGCTGAGTGCTCAGAGCCTGCTCTCAAGAAGGCAAGGGTCAGAGAGGCTCAGAGGCCTTCGGTCCTTCTCTTCCGACCCACCCAACACCCAGGTCCCCACAGGGCCACACCCTAGCCTCAGACCTGGACTTCAAGGGGAGCTGGGTTCCTGCCCAGACCAGAGTCCCCAGGGCAAGACCTGACTGTCCCTCAGGGGTAACAAGAGAGGATGGGATGCCAGGGGAGAGATGAAGGAGAGGCCACATCCCCAGCCATGTGGGCTCACCTGGTCCCCAGAAGGACCTGCTGTACCTTGGACAGGCGTTCTCTGGCCCTGGTTTAGGATGTGGGCTGGTGACCTTAGATCAGGGCCTCTGCCCAGGGAGAGACCAGGAGGGCACAGGGCAGGGGCCACTGTCCTCCTGCCCCAGCAGCTGTGGTGACGCCTTGTGACAACCCTTTGCCCACTACCCCCAGGGTGCGATGCTCCCATGGTCCTCAGAGTCGTCACCCCAGACCTGGTCCCCAAGACCTGGTGGGGTCAGAGGAGAGGGCTCAGGCTGTGTCTAAATCCTGTCCTCACCCTCACAACTCTCAACCTCTCTGAGGCCAGTGTGCAGAATCTGGAAAACAGGGACAGTGACACCTGTGCTGGGGGTCCTTGGAGCGCGTAACAGATTTGGGAAGACCGCTGGCAGACAAAGAGGCACAAAGCCCTGGTGTGTAGGCTCCCCTCTGCTGGCCGAAGGTAGCACTGGTTCTGTGCAGGGCTCAGTTTTCTCACCTGTAAAGTGGGAGGGATACCATGTGACAGGGGCTGTGGACCGTGTACAGTTACCTCCACAAGCTGCAGGCCCATCTGGGAGGCACCCAGGGACCCCAGCTCCACCCAGAGCCCCTGGGTCCCTGGGCTGGGGTCTCAGCCAGAGCCGGCCAGGGTCCTCAGCCCCATGCACTCCCATGTGGGGCCTGCAGAGCCAGACGAGGCTTCCTGCCTGTGTCGAGCCTGATCCCAGCGCCAAGACCTCTCCCCACCGAGGCACCCGGCCAAATCCGCTGCCCTGGGCCAGATCCTGAGTACAGCTGGGCCAGCGCAGAGCTGGGGAGGGGGGCAGTGTGCTCCCTGTTCAGTCCTTAAAAGTCCACGGGGCCTGGGTGTGCAGAGCTGCGTTCCGAGCGTGCCACAGCACGGGGCAGCTGGAGGTGGCCGGGGGACACTTGCCTCAGAGCGTTCCCTGGGAAGGGGTCATAGCCCTGGACCAGGAGCAGAGGGACTGTGGGCTGCCTGGCCACTCTGAGGTGCTCTGAGGGGACTTGGGAGGGGGAGGGGCTCCTCAGGATGGGACAGAGTGGGAAGGGGGCTCTGGCGGCTTAGAGACGGGGAGGAGGGACCTGAGAGCAGGGCTCCCTGCAGGAACACTGGGCAGTGGCCCAGCCTCCCTTTCCTTCCCCTCTCGGGTCTCACTTCCTCTTCCACACTCATGTCCTCCATCCCACGCTGTGTCCTCTCTCCACCTGCCTGGGCCTGGCCACACCACATGCTCCTTCTCTATCCAGGCCTCAGTGAACTCCAGGACAGAGTGCCCTGGGCCTGGGCCCCTTCTGAGGACATTCCCAGGTCCAGGGAGGTGCCAGGCACCCCAGCTGGCTCCTGCACCACGGCGGGGGGCACCCTTGGAGGTGCTCTGGGGGCAGGGAGCTCCTCGAAGGGTGCTGGGCAGTACTCTCTGGAGGCTCCAGGTGGCCTCCTGGAGGAGGAAGGGGGTCCCTCAAACTGGGTTGTTTGTTTGGTTGGTTTTGGCTTTGGTTTTTTTGAGACAGGGTCTTGCCATTTCAAGGCTGGCCTTGAACTATGTAGCCCAGGCTGGCTGCAAACTCATGGGGATTCTCCTGCCTCAGCCTCCTGAGTGCTGGGATCACAGGCTTCAAGCTGGGTTTGAAGAAGGGGGCCAGGTACAGAGGCCTGGCTGTGGAGCCGGGGGGCGGGGTGGTCTGTGGCAGACAGCTGTGTAGCAGGTGTCAGAGGGGAAAAAGGACAAGGGGGCCGAGGGGTGGCTGGATGCTGCCACTGCGGCCTGGTGAGTGTCTCGGGGGAGGAGGGCTTGAGCTCAGAAATAACAGAGAAGGCATAGAGGCCGGGGAGGTTCCTGTGATGCTCAGGCCCCATCTGAGCTCAAGGGCGAATCTGGCTGCCAGCCCCAGTCCCACAAACCCAGGTCCCCGGGCCTCCCACCCTGTACCCCGCCCTCTGGTAACGCCAGTTGCCCTGGAGATACTCTAGTTACAAACACTTCTTCAGGATGAGTCCTTGGGGGAAGAGGAGGGGCAGCCAGCTGGGGGTGTGACCAGTAGCGTGGGGGGCACCAGGAGACCCCTCCTGGTCACCAGATGGCCCTGGTCCCCGGGGAAGGGTGGGCTGGGCTGAAGCTTCCTCGTGGTCCAGAGGGAGAGTTAGGAGAGCCCTGGGCAGAGCCCCAAGACTTAGCCCCCCACCCTGCCCCACTGCTTGATCTGGACCTCCATTTCCCCATCTGTAAAATGGGTTCATTGTCTCAATGGCTCCTTTGACCCCATTTCCCGGCTTTCACATTCTCTGCTGCTGTCAAGGCCTCCCCTGGGGACAGAGGGGTCGGGAGACCCATCCAGCTCAGCCCCACAGGAGAAGGGGCAGCTAGTGGGTCTGCTGGGCAGAGCTGGGGAAATAGGCTGGAAGGGCAGGGTGGGGAGGAATTTGGAAACTTTTAGGACCTCGACAGGCCCGTGAGTCAGTGGGCAGATGGAAGCAATTAGGCACTGGCAGGAGATGCAGCAGGCTAGGGACGGCAACCAAGTGCAGGGAGCCGAGAGCTTCAAGCTCAGACCTGAGGCACTGGGTGGTTCTGGGGCTGGTGTGCAGGTTTGAGGCACCAAGCCGGGCTGTGTGCATGGCTGAGGGACCGGGAGGCCCAGAATGGGAGCCCAGGCTGAAAGAAAGGGATGGGACCAGGTCGGGCTGGGAGCCTGCATGCTGTTGGGTCAACACTGAGAAGTTTCCATCACCTGACTTGCCACAGCTCTCCCAGGACCTGCCCCACAGATAACAAAGATGCCCACTCCAGACCATCCATCCTGTGTTCCCGCCGTGCATGGCTGCTTCGGCCCCTCACAGGCATCTCCACTCTGGAGAGGAGAAAGCAAAGAGGAAGTCATTTTCCAGAGAATTCACATTGAAAACACTTGTCATGCACCTCCCGGGGCCAGGTCCCTGCTAGTTCCCGAGTGGCACCCTCTGGGGCTTTCCCGGACCAGCAGGGGACACCGGTTGTTTCACGTAACCATGGAGAGTCACCACCGTGAGTGGTAGAGAAGATACCACCAGAGCTGGGTGGCAGCAACAGGGTCAGAAAAGCATGAGCAGGAAGTTATGGAGAGCCAAGGAGGAACAGGAGGAAGGCAGACCAGAGAGTGGTGGGAAGAGTGTGGGTTTGGGGTGCCCAGAGAGGTGAGGACAAGAGGAAGTGGGGATGATGTGCCCCACCCATAAGGGGAGAGGGAATGATGGACAGGTGCAGTGTTGGGGACACGTGTACACCCTTTCCGGGTCCTAGGGCCCATCAAGTCCAGCGACAGGCACAGCGGCCATCCTCAGACTCTCCCCACTGACCCCCCAGTGACACTTACCTGTAAGGCAGGGTAGCCCTCACAAATGACAACCATGGAGCACTGAACCCAGCATGTTCATGCCCAAACCCATTTCTAGGTGTTCAGCAAGCATTTGCTGATGGCTGCTCTGTTCCAGGCACTGCCAAGCTTGGTGGTCCTGATTTAAGGAGGGGCATAGAGCATCCGAGTGCCATGGCAGCATCCAGGGGAGGCTCATCCACCTGGGACGCCCTGTAAAGAACAACCCTGGAGGCAAGTCTGATACAAGCAAGCAGGCGGTGCCAGGGGAGGAGGTGGGCACAGCATGGATATGGTGGGGAGGTTTCTGCAAGGGAGTCTGGGGACCGACAGGGAGAGATTGGGGTCTGGGGGAATCGCTGAGCCTCCCTTGTATCTGATTGCAACATCTGGGACGTCTCAGTGGAAAAGGGCTACAAGGGTTAGCAACACAGAGCTGGCAGCCAAAGCCTTTAATGAGGCTGAAACTGTCCAAGACCAGGCCAAAGAGTTCCCAGCTTTCTCATGGATAAGATGGAGAGCCACTGAAGCTTTAGGAAAGGAAGGGACATGACCAGATTTAGAGGAATTATTTGAGCAGCAAAGAGGAAGCTGACTCAGACAAAGACACTGGAGTCAGAGAGACTTAAGAAAAGGAATGGAAGTGTCACCCTAGAAGTCTAGACCCAACCAGTGACCAGCACAGAGAAAAGGTCATAGAGCAGACACCTGACAGCAACTGTCACAGGTGAACCTCACTGTATGGAAGTGAGGGCTTGACATATTCATTTGTAAATCATGTTTATGGTAATGCTGTATGTCAAATCCTGTTTTAAACAACCCAACCAAAAAAAGAAAGAAACTAAGAAAATTTCATTTACAGTAGAAAATATAAGAATAAATATATATATATGAATAAAATATATAGGAAAACATTGAATAAAAGAAATATAAGACTCATACACCAAAGACTGAAACACATCATTAGAGAATTTAACAATCTAAATAAATGAAAAGACATCCCATGTTCATGGATCAGAAGACTTAATATTATATTATTAAGATGACAATTCTATCCAAAGCTGATGACAAAGCTTACAAAAACAGATTCAGTACAATCCTTATCAGAATCCCAGTGGTATTTCCTGCAGAAATGGAAAAACCCAAAAACCTGAAAATTATATATGAAATTTCAAGGGAGCCTCAATAGCCAAAACAATCCTGAAAAAGAACAAAGTTGGAAGACTCATATTTCCTGATTTCAAAACTTAAGACAAAGCTACAGTAAGGACAGACATATAAATCAATAGAATGAAATTGAGAAATAAATCATCACATAGGATGCCAAGACCATTCAACAGGGGAAGAGGAGCCTCTTGGCAGGGCCAGGGGATCATAAACACTGAGATTATATAACACTACATTTCCAGATGCAAAAGAATGAAATTGAACCCCTACCTCACACCATATACAAAAAATTAATAAGATGGGTTGGAGACCTAAAATAAGAGCTAAAACTATAAAATCTCTTAGAAGAAAACATAGAAATAAATCTTCATGATGTTGGATTTGGCAATAGTTTCTGAGATATGATGCCAAACGTACAAGAAACAAAAGAAAAAATAGATACATTGGACTTTATAGAATTAAAAGCTTCAAAAGGCACAATCAAGGAAAAAATTTAGAAGCCTACAGGAGGAGAGAAAATATTTTGCAAATCTTATATTCAGTGCCTTACAAGACTCTGTTATGAAAGACTGCTCTTGGATACTTTTCCCCAGTGGGGTGGAGGGAGAATGACCTTACCCCTTGTGTAGAGTACGAGCATCCTCCTGTGCCCTTTATGGAGTAAGTTTGCCCAGTGAGGACCTGTCCATACAGGAAATTAGGAAAAGGAAACTTGGGGGAGGGTGGGAGGAAGGAGGGACTTTTGTCCCCAAGGCATCCTTGGTTCTTTCTCTGGGAACTTGTTCACAAATTCCCCAAATTCTCCCACATTAATTTTAGAATGAGTCCTCGAAACCGGAGGAGGCCAAGGGCAGAAGGACGGCTGGGCGCCAATGCAGGCAGTGCTCAGGGGGACAGCATGAGGGAAAAGCGGTGCAGCCCGGCCTCGCCTCCCACCCAGGCCTTGTCCATGGGAAGGTCATGGGAGGCACAAGCCGGGGCCAAGCCCCGTGCAGGGCGCGGGCCCAGGCGAGTGGCCAGAAGGTCCTGGGCCCTGCGGCCTCGGTTCCCACTGACATCAGTTCAAGGTGTCAGGGGGCCTGAATCATCGGGGCCAGGGCCAGCCCCCTCCCGGGGGGAGGACATAGCAAAGACATGAGGCCGCCTGGGCCAGGCAAGCGGCCCCAGGCTGGGCTAGACACAGCGCCTGTTTTACAGAATTAGCGAATGCGACCGGCCACAGGGGAAGGCAGAGATGTCATCGTCCTGGATTCCAACAGGCTGTGCTCCCCCCACCTTTCTGATTCACAAAATTAATTCCAACAGCTAGAGAGAAGAGTCTGTCTGCAAGGCCAGGGGGGTCATAAACACCGGGACTCTTAATAGCCCAGCCAGGCCGCTGGAGGCTGGGGGGCCTTCCAGGGCTGACTTATTTAGGCTCCTCATTAATGGTGTGGAAAGAACGGAGTTTGCCCAAACCCCCGGGGTGGGTGCTGACCTACATCAGGCAGGGATTGCCCAAGCTGAGGACAGACCAAGGGGACTGTCCAGGGCTCAGTCCCCCACCCACCCTGGCTGACATCCCAGCATGGCAGAGTAAGAGACAGGTATGACCCTGGACAGTAACGATGAAGTGCATGTGTGTTTCCGACCCAGCAGACTACCTGTACCTCCACTGTCTCCAGCCAAGGGGTTCCCAAGCTAACATGTGGGACCAGGCCAGGGTCAGAATCCCCAGCCAGCCCAGATAGCACAATGGCATGAGCCAGGTGTACAGAGGTGGGAACTGGCCAAGTGAAGCTGGGGCTCCTTTTGAGCAACATCACCTTGCAATGAATGAATCCACCCTGAATGCCTCCCCCAAGTCTAGGCATGTTTCTGTTGTTTTTTGTTTTTGTTTGGTACCAGGGATTGAACTTGGGATCTTGCATTTTCGAGGCAGGTGCGGGAACCACTGAGCTAAATCCCCAGCTCTAGGCATGTTTCTGACACCTGTGCAAGCATCTTTCTATGTGTCTGATGCCTGCTCGCCCCAACATTGAGCAGAAGCCCCATGCAGAGCCTGTCCCTCTAGGGAGAAGAGAAATCAGGGCAGCTGGCATGCTCAGGGCTGTCCCGAGACTCCAGGTCTTGAGAACATCATTGGAAGCAGCCCTCAGGGCCCCAGCAAATGGGGTCAGGAGCAAAGGAGGCTGTGACGGGAGGCAGCTGGGAAGAGGGTGAGGAGGTCCAGGTCGGAGGCACGGCCAGGACCCACTCAGACCGGCTGGAGGAGCCTCCCCTGGGAAGCCCTCCGGCTCCCAGCTGCAGGCTGTTGGCTGCCAGCGCTGGGACAGACACAGACGGGCCGGGACTGGCAGCAGCTGCAGCTGGGAGCCCACCGAGTCCCAAGCTGGAATGAAGGAGAGACCCGTCCAGAAATGAGATCAAGGCGATGGCACCACCGTGTCCCCCAGGGAGCTGAGCTCTGCGTCCCAGGACATTCCAAACTTTGAACAAAACATGCAGTGGGAGGCCGGCCAGCCTGGGCTGGTGCCAAGTGGCCCCCGACCCCTCCCATGGGCAGGGGGGCTGTCCTGGCCCCGGCAGTGGGACTGGCTGGGAACGGAGCACACGCTGCCAGGAAAGCTGCCCACACAAGTTGCCTGGGGACATTGCATCCAGACACCTGCCACGTTCCCTCGGCAGGGCGCCACACGAGGTCATCCACCCGGCCAGGGCTGTGTGCGGTGCTGCGAGGGACTGATTCTGCTTAGCCACCTGCATGGCATGTGCCAACTTTGCTGACACCTTCAAGGCATAATGAATTTTACAGCTCCTGGAGGCAGCCAGACCTGGCTGGTTTCCCTGTTTTAGAGGAAACTGGGGCCCACCATGGGATTTGCTAGAGGCCACGCAGTTACTGGGGACTGTGGCAGGATTCTCAGGACTGCCACCTCCCTGTTCCTGAGTTCTTTCAGTGATACTCTGCTGGCAGCAGAAGGCCACGAGACCCTGGCTCGATTTCCAAAAAAAATCCTAATTCCACAGCTGTACTTTGGAAATCAGCATGTTCAATGCCTTTGTTCTACATGCGGGCAAACTGGGGCAAAATAAAACAAAAAGAGACACGGTCATAGGGCAAGGGGACGCAGCCAGCAACCGCTCCTCAGAGGGCTGGGAGAGGGAGGAAATCCTGGCTACTTCCCGGAAGAGGTGTGCTTCTTCTCTGAGGCCCACCCAAGCGACCCTCAGCAGAGGCAGCAATAGATCCACATGAGGAAGACTGCACAGCAGAATCAGAGGCCACGGGGGTGAGTTCTAGCTGCCCATGCGACCTCACAGCCGTCCTTTCCCCTCCCCTGGCCTCCGTGCTGCCATCAGTACAATGGGGACAAGGAAGTCACCTCCCACCTGAACACACAGTGGCTCGAAGCTCAGACTCACGTGGGGTGGTACTCCAAGGACTAGGTCAGGCAGCCTGAACCTGACCATCACTAGGAGACCCCCAGGCCCAGTGGGGTACCTAGCGGGGTACCTGAGGAGGGGCCGGGCAGCAGACAGATTGCTGCTGGCTGAGTGGGACCCAAGGACAAGGTTCAGAGCTGGCAGGGGCTGGACGAGCAAGGAAAGAGGGGAGAGGGAGTGTGCCAGGGTGGCCGCTCCATAAAGATGGGTACCCAAGGCCACGGTCAAACTGACCATGATGCGGGCACAGTGGCCCAGGGAAGGAATCATCTGTGGTTGGGACGACATTGGAACCCCAATCCGGCCGTGGTCAGGAGGTCGCTGCAGAAGCTGAGAAGGTCAGGGCAGAAGCTGACCTTAGTGGTCTCTTAGTGTCCCCAGGGGCACATGCAGGCTCTGGTCCCCAGGGCAGGCATCAGGAGGCAAGACCAGCCTGCTGACCTTGTGCTGATCCCAGCAATCCTGGCCACTGAGCCCTCTGCCTGTACAGACAGTCCATGCTCCGGCAGGAGCAGGTCACGCTGACCGAGGGCCTGACAAGCAGCCTCTCCCAAGGAGCAGCCTTGTCTGCCCCCTCCCAGGCTCCTCCCAGGGCCACAGGAGGGTTCTCAGAAACCAGTGGGCATTGGCAAATTGGGGGCAAAGCATGAACAGAGAGAGAAGCTCAAGGAGGAATCCATCTGCCCTCATTGGGGAAGATTTACTGAGCACTTACTATATGCCAGGCCCTGGGCCAGGTGAGGGGGCCATAGAAAGGAGGAAGGCAGGGCCTGAGGCCCCAGGGAGAGGGTGGTACCCAGAGATCCTCGAGCCAGGCAAACCCAGGGCGACTCAGGAGCCTCTGTCAGCAGAAAAGGAAGTCAGGAGGGCCAGAGGGCCAGGAGCGACTGGGGGCAGGAGGGAAGGCACAGGAGGAGAGGCCTGCGGCACCGGGAACTGGGGGACACAAGGGACCCCAGAGCCCACCTTCCACTCAGCCAGGTTTTGGTGGAGACACAGAATGAGGGCCGGGGGCCATTTTCACCTTTTAAAAACCACAGACATCCGTCGTGGAACACCGGAGCCAAATTTCTGGGAGAGACAGAGGCCCTGTGGGCGCCCCTCCTGACGTCAATCGGGTTCTCTTTTGTGTCTGCGGCTTTGACAGGACGAGGCCAGATTAGGGGGCTGAGCGGAGCGGGTGGGAGAGGAAACCGGGGCCAAGCGCCACCCGTGCTTGGGACCTGCTGCCCACGTGCAAAGCTCCCCGGGTGGCTTGGGGGCCCTGCTGATGACAGAGCAGGAGCTGGGGAGCCCCTGGGTCCTGCGTGGACTCCTGAGCCCTTAACCTGACCCCCGCCTGAGGCCCGAGACACTACAGAGGGGGCACCATTGGCCACTTGGGGCCAAGGGATGCTGTTGTGGCTAAGACTGTCACCACCCATGCCACTTTCCAGCCCACAAGCAAGGCTGCAGCCCCTGTCCTGCTCTGTGAGGCCTCTGGGGTCAGAGACCAGCTGGTGTGGGCTTCTGGGAGGGACACAAATACAGGAGAGAGGGGACAGGGCCACTGTCAATGCATGCCTCTCCCATCAGCTCCACACAAGGGCCCTGTCCCTGCACACACTGCGTCTCGTCTGGCACCAGCTTTGACCCCCACCCAGACTGAGCTCTCAGGTAGACCCCAAATTATACCAGTCCTGACCCTCGACTGAGTCCCCTCCAAGCCCGGAAGTCCGACTCTACCCTGAGCTCCAGCCTGGAAATACAGGCTGATCCCTGAGCCTGGTGCAGTGAGAGCAGCAACCCTAATCCCACCCCCAGGCCTACTCTGGATGCCGACCCCAACCCCAGTCTGAGCCTGGCCCCAAGGGAGAGCCTTGGGAACACCAGCCCCTTTGCTGCCAGATGGGGCCACAGGTCCTTGGGACACTGAGGCTACCAGGGTCCTGGGAGGGCGGGAGAATTCAGGATACTGGCACATTGCATTCCCCCGGCCAGCACTGGCCCTTGTGAGTTTATCAGAGGGGCCCCATCTGTACGGACAGATGACAGAGGCTGGGCAGGGCTGTCCTGGGGGACATGGACCCTTGCATGTCCAGCAAGGAAAGGAGGACAGACCCAGGGTGGTGACAGGACTCTGTAGTCCCCTCCTCCCCTAGGGCACAGCCCATGTGGGGTGCAGCGTGGGAGACCCCAGCCTCTGGCCTTCCCCCGGTAGCAGCAGGAGCGATCGGTGTAAGACAGAGCTGGCTGAGCCCTGGGGAAGCCCCAGCCTGCGGGGCCCCCTCCGTGGCCACCGGCTGAGGGGCCTGGGTCCCAGGGAGCTCTGCTTGGCCCCTGCGCCGCAGTGTGAGAACGTGAGCTTGCAGCCACAGCCTCAGCGGGAAGAGATCAGCAGGAAGGAATGCACTGTCCAGGCCAGCGGACAGGCTGGGCCACCCGAGAGGGCGCACAGTGAGGAGGGCTCGGAAGATGGGAGCCGCGAAGGAAAACAGAGATGTTCGTGGCCGCCAGCCAGCCAGCCAGCGCGGCCCAGCCATTGTTCCCAGCCCCAGGGTCAGGTGCACCGGGCTGCAGGCCAGTCAGCTCAGCATGGCCCCAGACTTCCTCACACTGCATCTCCCCTACCCCAGACCCTGACCCCAGGGCCTGGCCTTGCCTCCATGTCCACCTCGATGCGCCTGTGTCTCCCCACGTCACATCTCCCCTCCCACCCCAGACCCGGGTCCTTCGCTGGTCTCCATGGGGGTGTGGGTCAATGACCCTGGCTCACACCAGCCGCTCAGAAAGCATGGTCAGCAGGTCAGCGCATTAACATCACTCGGAAACTTGTTAGAAAGACAGATTCCCCACACCTACTGGGTCAGGAACTCCAGGGCTGGGCAGGTAACCTGTCGAAACAAGTCCTCCGGGGAAATCTGTGCAAGTTGGAGAACTGAGACTTAGCCTGCAGCCACGGGCAGCTCCGCGGATGTCAGTGGAAGCACTGCCTCGCTGAACGAAGGGACAGCTGGTGTCTGTGCTTCGAGGAGGCGTGGTCCTAGCCCCAACCTCGAGGAGGATTCTTCCTTCTTGCCCACAGGGTACCCAAGCCCTCAGGAGCATGGCGGGCTGCAGGCGGAAACAGAAGAATTCTGAAGGCGGTGCCCTCTGAGAAGAAGCAGGTGCTCGGACGGGTGGCTAGTCCTGCAAGGACAACCCGAAGCAGGCCAGCCCAGGGCTCAGCCAGACTCAAAGAGGACGATGGGAGGAGGGGTCTAGGCCATCACAGGGTGCGACCCCACGAACTGGGACCTGCAACCAGACAGGAAGGTAGAGCTGGGGAAGCCTAGCAGGCAAAAGGGTTCAGGGCATGAGCAGGGGAGGAAGTGACCAGAGACGCTGGGAGCTGGGCTGAGCCTCCATCCTTAGAGCGGCACACCAGCTCAGCCAGTCCTGCACGCTGCTCTGCACCTCCAGAAATCCCCTTGACAAACCTGGGCCAGGATGCAGAGCCTGACACGGAGCTGAGCCTGCCCGTGGGGTCCAGGACACCAGCTGTGGGGAGGTGACAGGAAGCTGCAGGGTGAGCGCCTGGCATGTTCTGAGTCTTGTTGACTCAACCCAGCAAACTCCTCTTGGAATCGGATCCCTCCTGAAGCCGGGTCGCCCATTCCAGAACTGCAGAGCCGCTGGACAGCTTCCCAGCTGCCTGGGTCTCGCCCAGCACTGGTCACAGGTGACCTAACTGTGGCTTGTGTTTCCAGAACAACTTATCGAGGCACACAAGGTCAGTTTAATATGCTTGTCCCAGCTCCCTTGGGGGCCTAGGAGGAGAGGACAAATCGTGTGGCCCCATCACTGTGCTAGCTTGACACCAGCAACGTCACGTGGTCAGCACCATTCACTCCCGAACACTCCACATAAAAAGAAACATTTTACCCACAGCCACCACCTCTGCTGGGTGACTTGGCGTTAAGCACAAGGTTAGCTGGGGATGGTGGCGCGCCCCATAATCCCTGCTCTCAGGAGGCTGAGGCGGGAGGGTGGACGTCTCTCTCAACCTCTAGGAGACCCCATCTCTGCAGCCACTGTCCTCAGAAAGGTGTCAGCAGGAAGGAGCCTCAGAGGAGGGACAAGCTTCCTCTGCTGAGCGGGAGGCCGGCCCTGTATCCTTTAGGCCACCAAGGAGGGTTCCCGGCCCCTCAAACCCCCAGAACGTCCAGCCCTGCTCTTTGCTGAACTCTAATTCCCAGGCCAACTCATGTCTACAGCTGACCCCCAGCCTGCCCAGCTGTGCCCCCCTCTGTCCTTCTGTGGCCCCAGGGCCCCAGGGTGACCTCCCAACCCCCACCCACGGCCTCAAAGACTGGTCCTCTTTGGGGTGAGGAGAGAAAACATCGCTCCTGGCCGCCTTGGGAGGCAGGACAATTCAGGGAAATGTTTGTACCCAAACAGCCCCACGCTCCAGGAACTGCTGGGCCCTGCCCAGGAAAGCCAGCTTGGGGCTCCACCCTGTGTAGACGGAGGCTGGAGGGGCAGCCTGGCAGGGGGTCACCAAACCCAAAAGGGTCCACGTGGGGAACAGGGGAGGGCAGGGCCTTCCCAGCTGATTCAGAAAGGGGGTCCTGTCCCCAACAGTGAACTACACAAACGCCACATTGTCAGTATTTATCTGAGACCCAGTGACCCGGGTCGATCTGGCCCAGAGATGATAAAGAAGCACTCTGACTTGATTGGACTAATTCGTGCAGCAAGCACTCTGTGCACTTGGGGCCGGCTGGGTGCTGGCCACGGAGTGTCCGTGGAGAGACCTCCAGTCTCAGAAGAGAGAGGCACACAAGGAATCGGAGGGTGCTGCCTGTCCCCCGCTGCCTCCCCTTGAGGAAGGCCAACCACAGTTAGCCAGGTGGTGGGATGGCCTGGGGGACCACTACCCAGTGCACCGCCGCTGCGACACCCTAACAGGCAAGGACCAGCACACAGATAATAAAACCAGAGCTCCCTGCCACCACGGTTGTTTTCCTTTATTTTTGCAGTACTGGTGATTGAACCCAGGGCCTTTGCCCTGAGCTACATCCCCAGCTCCTTTTATCTTTTATTTTGACAGTCTCTCTAGGTTGCTAAGTTGCCTGAGCTGGCCTGGAACTTGGCAATCCTCCTGCCTCAGCCTCCCAGAGTGCTGGGATGACAGACCTGTACCTGACTGCCCTCCTGTTTATGAAAACTCAAATGTAATGGCCTCTGGTGCCTCCCCACTCAGTCTCCCTGCCTGGTCTCTCCAAGGTGTCCCCTGTGATCTCAACATCGCCCTGAGGTGACAGATGCCAGGTGAGAGCCAACATTTACAAAGAGTGAAGATTGGCCCCTCCTTGCTCAGGGTACAAACACATCCCCCTGTGACACCAGGGTGACCGCTGCGCATCCCTGTGTGCAGACCTTCGGCCCAGGGCAACTTCCTGTCTCCGGGAGTGGGGAGGCGGAGGGGAAGTTGCTGGTGACCCCAGGCTTCCACCTTGGCCCCAGTGGGGCTGGGCAGTGGCCATTCTGCCGGCCTCGGAGGACACTGGGCCTGAGCAGGGTGGAGGCTGCAGGGACAGCCGAGGTCACAGCAGCCAGCCTGGCTGTCACAGGCCCTCACGCCCACCTCGCCCGCCTGGGCCCTCGTGCCAGACACTGTTGTGTTTCGTCCTTTTCTTGGAGGGGGAGGGGTGCGGCTCCAGCCCTTGAGTGATGAGTTAAGTGACAGTGAATTTGAACCACATGGAGGGAAAGTGTTTTGGTGAAAGCAGTGGGGATTTCATCAGCCCCCACCCCCCAGACAGGACAAAAATAGTGCTGGCCAAACAGGCTCTGACCCACAGGCCTGGCCCCGCTTCCCCGCCCCTTGTCCTGGAGAGAGGCTTCTGTAGCCTCTTTCTCTCCTTCTAGGTTGCGTAATCTTTCCTTGTTGTTTTGCTTGCCTGTTTGTTGACTGGCCTGATTTGTTTGGGAGAGTCTATTCCCCAATAACCTTGCAGCCGCCTGGCCTGGCGTTAGAGAGCGCGGGGCCAGGCAGGGAGACCCTCTCTCAGGCTCCGACCAGAGCACCACGGCCCAGAGAGGGAGCTCATCTCGGCCCCCAGTGCCCGCTGCCCCTCGATGCTCAGCCTAAGCTCCCAGAGGCAGCCCAGGCCTCTGGGACTGAAGCAGGGGATCCGTGTCACTCCTTCCTGCCTCAACCTCCCCAGACAGGCCAGGCCAGGGCACCCTGGGAAGGGTGCCCTGGGCATCTCTTGTCCCTGCTGCCCCCCCTGCCCCGGGGACCCTGGGGGCGCCTGTGACCTGGCCTCCTCCATCCCGCTTCCAGAGGGTTTGGCTCTTTCCCCTGCCCATACACCTCTGGCCACCCTCAGGTTCCAGCCACCGCCATGGGCCAGGAGGCAGCAGGGAGGCCCCCACACCACCGGAAACCCCAGCACCCCAGTTCAGAGCCAGGTACCACACCCAGGGTGGACTCCAGACTCCCCCTCTGCACAGCACGGACTCCCAGCTCCCAGCCTGGCTGGTGGAGTACAGGCCGCAGAGCCTGAAGCCTTGGCCAGAGGGGCACTGTGCTCTGACCCCCAGGCACCTCGTCTGAAAGCAGGGGGGACCAGAATGTGACTCGGGCTGGAGCTTTCCCCACCCCACCCTGGTTTGCAGAGAGGCAGTGGGAGCTGGGTGACCACCGTGGGCTTTTTGGCTATGCTGCCTTCTCTGAATCCCAGACCTTGGGCCTTGGTTTCCTCATCTGTGAAATGGGCTGGTGATGGCCACCTTTCCTTGAATGGGGCAGCTGGAACGAGGTAACCCAGTGGAGTCCCCAGGAGGGCATCTGGCCCCCAGAGAGGCTCCATCCATGCTTGCCCTTGTTATTTGTTATTTGTGTCTCCGGCCTGCATGGTGTTGACTCACATTTTCCAAAGCAAGGAGGCAGACAGGGAGGCACGCAGCACTGCGGTTTCTGCTGTCCACTGCTCCAGGGCCCCAGGCTGCAGGTCAGCAATGCAGGATTCCATTCCACTGGGCCAGCGATGCTGCGATAAGGCTGCACCTCAGGGTACAGAAGCACCAGAGCCTGAGCAAAGCCCGGGCTTTGGGCAGCCCCAGAGCGGAAGCCACGCTGTGAAGGCCCTAGGTGCCCGGGCTGTGGGCTGCTCCTCCCCTGCGTCCCGCCGCACACCCTCGCACCCAGTCCCTGTATGCCACACATCTGGCCGCCAATCCCCCACTTTCCATCCTTCTCTCATCTCGGGCTCAAACTCGGGGAAGGCTGTGCCACAGAACCCGGAGCCCTGGAGTCACAGGGCTTCAGAACAGCTCTAGGGCTTGTCTGATTCCCTTGGGCTCCCTGCAAGAACTACCTCGGGCTCGTTCCTGACACCGATCAGCCCCGCCAGTCTGGATCTCCCCGTGAACGGGAATCACTACCTCGAAGTGCCAATGACTTCAGACTCCCACACGCCTCCACTCATGAAGGTCACGAGTGCCCAGTGAGGTCCAAAGGGTCTAAAGCCACCGCGGAGGAGTGAGGCAAGGCCACCGGGCCTTCCCAGGGTGGGTCTCTGTCCTGGGCTGGGCTCTCCCACATCACCCAGGTCCCTGTCTTCTCCCAGGCTGGGGCCCTGAGTGACATCCAGCCCCCTCCTGCCAAGCGCAGGTGTTGGCCAGGAAGGGAGGAGGGGAGGGAGCGCCCCGGGAAGCGGCAGGAGGGGGCTCTGTGCCCCACAGCCAGTGGCCCTCCCTGCGGTGCCCTAGGCTCCCAAGGAGGTGCAAGCTGACAATCCAGGGGGCCCCCAGGCTCTTTCGAGTGAGGCCAACGGGCAGCCCTGGGTGGGCTGGTGTGGAGCGACAGCTGTCAGCACCGGGCAAGGGACATGTGGCCCACACAGGCCAGAGCTAAGCTATTCCCAGGCTGCCCTGGCAGGGGGCTGGGAGCCGTGTCGTCCACACAGCCGGACAGCGCTCTGCACAGGACCCCGCCTCAGGCTAGGATGCTGTCGGAGCAGCTGCCGGCAGCCCAGCCGGGCTCCAGCCCTCCAGATGTGCGGTCAGCAGCCTGCCACAGCAATGGAGACAGAGACGGGGCGGAGCACAGCCAGGGCCCAGATGGGCTGTGTTAACCCAGCCACGGCTCTTCGGGGTCCAGATGCTCCACTTCTCCAGTGAGCCAGCTTTGGGCTCCAGATGTGGACCTGGCCTGGGGGTGGAACGCACTCCAGATGTGTGTGGCCTAGCAGGATGGCTGCAGGGCCCAGCTGCAGGGCTCGGGCCCGGGGGACCAGGGGCCCTCCCTGGCCTCCCGACTCAGAGCTCACCAGCCCCCGGGGCCAAGAGGGGTTCAAAGTTCGCCAAAACTCAGACTCAGCCCAGCCATGATGGTGCACACCTGTGATCCCAGCACTCTGGGAGGCTGAGGCAGGAGGATCACAAGTTCAAGCCCACCCTGGGCAACTTAGTGACTTGGCAACTTAGTGACTTAGCAACTTAGTGACTTATCAAGACCCTGTCTTAAAATAAAAAATAAAAAAGGGCTGGGGATGGAGCTCAGTGCAAAGGTCCTGGGTTCAGCTGGGCATGGTGATGCACACCTGTGACCCCAGCACTCAGGAGGCTGAGGGAAGAGGATCACAGTGAGCTCAAGACCAGCCTGAACTACATAGTGAGACCCTGTCTCAAAAAGCAACAACAACAAAGGCCCTGGGTTCAATCCCCAGTACCTCAGAAGAAAAAGCTGGGAGCCTAAAACTCACACTCAGAAGCTGGCAGAGCCAGAGAGGACTCTCACTGCAGGGCAGGGCAGAGCCCCGGCCACAGCCGGACTCAGGCAGGGGTTCTGAGGAGAGCCCCACCCTCAGAGACACAGGATCGGAGGACCTGGGCATCCTGGGCCTGGGGGCAGTGGCTCTGCTCTGACCTTGCAGGCGGTGGAAGCAGGGGATGGGGAAGAAGCAGGAGCCTGCCTTGGGGGTCCCCAAGATGCGCCCTCAACCTGAACCCCCTCAGGCTCCTCCCACACGGCCAGGTGGGGGTCCTGGGAAGGTGCCCAGGAGCCCAGGCATCAGCCTTGGGCAGAGTCTGAGACCCTCCAGCCTCCCAGCCCCACTGGGTACCAGGTGCTGCCCCAGGCCTGCCACTCCCAGGCCCCTCACAGGTCCTGCTCCTCTCTCACTGGACTCAGCCCGGAGGTCACAGTGGTGGTAGAGGTCACAGGTCAGAGGTCAAAGGAGCCCCAGGCCCACAGAGGCCCCCCAGAAACAGCAGCCCCTGGGCCCCACTGCGAGGACAGGTGACCCGGGGGCCATGAGGTGTTCCCTTCTCCTTCTAACCCCATCCTGGCCATGCAGCCGGCAGGACAGAGGCCAGGGCAGCCTGAGCTGGGTGGGGAGGCTGGCTGATGGCTGAGGCTGAGACAGGAAGCACTCACAGGTTATGTCAGGTGAGCGTCTCCCCTCTGGCAGCCCCACCTGGGGCCAGGCCCAAAAGCAAGACTAGAGAGAGAGAGAGAGAGAGAGAGGCTGGCGTGGTTCTGAGCCAGCAAGAGGGGGCCAGGGATGGGGGAGGCCAGAGGGCACTGAGCCCCGCCCCCAGCCCGCTCCATCTGGGCTAGGCTGGGGTCTCCCCTGCCCTGTGGAAGACGCTGTCCACGGGACCACACTCATCCTCACAGGGATCTCGTGTCCCCAGACTTCTTCCTCTGGAGGGAGGCCCCTCCTCCCAGGGTGCCAAGGGTCTCAGCCCCCTAAGTCAGGGGACCCTGATGCTCACCCTCAAATTCCGACTCCCCTGCCTGGGGCTCCCACGCTCCAGTCAGCCCCATGTGGCCCCTAACCCTTGGCCATCCCAGGATCGGGTCGGATGGGTCAGATGGGGTCAGGAGCTGGAGATCATAGAAGGGCTAGGGACCAAGGAGGGGGCCCCTCGGCACCATAGTGGGGCAGCCAGGGCCCTGTGTGTCTTGGCCGAACAGGACCCCTGAGCCGCCAGGTATGTAACAATTCCAGCCATTTCCTGCCCTATTAATGAGAAAGGAGCTGATATAAATATACGCTCAGCATAAATAAATACAGGCCAGGCCTGGGCTGCATAGCAGACAGATTGCGTGGAGCTGCTGGCCAGCCTGCCAGCCCCCTGCCCCCCCCAGCAGGCCAGGGCCCCTCCACACTCACAGCCTGAGAGGGACTCGCTGACCGCCTGGCCCCCTGCCTGGCCTGCAGCCCCCCAAAGGTGGAAAGCCTGGGAGAGAGACTAAGGCCACTGGGGTCCCAGCAAGGGCCCCCGTGCCAGAACCAGCGTACCACGCACCCGCAGACCTGGCGACATCTCTGGGTGCCCCTGGGTGCTGTGACTATGTCCTGTTCATGGCTGGGGAAACTGAGGTTCCCAGGGATGAGCACTGTGACTTGCGCAGGTCAGGTAGCCAAGAGGTCATGAGCACGGGATCAAAGCCTATGATGCCAAGGGCCTAGGCTGAGCATGCCTATAATTCCAGCACTCGGGGAAGCTGAAGCAGGAGAATCTCAAGTTCAAGCCCAGCCTGGACAGTTTAGTGACAGTGAAACCCTGTGTCAAAATTTTTAAAAAGTAGAGGTGGGATGTAGTTCAATAGGAAGGATCTGGGTTCAGTCCCCAGTAATGCACAAATAAAAGGAGGTGGGTGCTAGCAATGTAAGCAGCAACAACCCACAGCCGGGGATCTAGGAGAGGTCTCAGATCATCTAGCACAAGGGGCCTGTGATGGGGCCACACACAGGAGGGTCCAGCCCAAGCCTCCGCCCTTGGCACATTTAGGAGCAAGCCTGGGCACTGAGGTCCCCACTGCTGAATCTCATCAGGGGTCGCCCCACCCACCTCACACTACACATGCATGGAAAGGACAGGGCCCCTCTGGGCTCACACGGAAGCAGGGCAGAGCTGGGGCTCCTCCTGGGGGCTACGGCTCAGTTTGAGAGGGGCCAGGCCCCCCTTGCTCTAGGGTCCCAGCTCCCCAGGCTGAGCACATCCAAAGGTCTCCAGGTGTCTGCCTCCAGCCCAGAAGCCAGCCTGGACCCTGCCCGGGTCACAGACCAGCAATGCCAGCTGAGACCACAATGCCACAAGCACAGGAAAATTCTCAGTATCACCTAACTCAATCCCTCCGTTAGTCCTCTGCCCAGGCCGCTCCATCCTCCCACCCTCAGGCCTAGAGTAGGGGTGATGCTCGCTCTCACAAAACCAGCCAGATCACTGGTGGAATCACTCTAAGGGCCTGTGGGGAGGGAATCTGCCACCACTCCCCAGCTGGACACTGGCCTGGCTCACAGGTAAGGAAGACTGCAGAGATGCTGCCTCAGTTCCACACTCCTAGGGAGGTGGACAGTGCTTCAGGATGGTGGTTGTGGTAGTGAGGATAGATGGATGGATGGATGGATGGATGAACGGAGGGATGGACGGAGGGATGGACAGACGGATGGATGGAGGGATGGATGGATGGATGGAGGGATGGTTGGATGGGTTTGGAAGTGGGTGGATCAATGGATGAGTAGCAATGTGTGGATGAGGGGATGGCCTGGATACAGAAGGCCTAGCTCAGAAGTAACCACTCAGAAGAATTTTCTACATTTGTGAAATGTGAGAGCCTGGCACCCCCCAGAGGCCAGAGTCTCCAATTGCCCATCTCCCCTAAACGCCTGGGCCCCACCAAAGAGGTGAACCAGGGACATGGACTTCAACAAAGGTAGGGCTTCTGGGAAACACTGAATCTAGAGACCAGGGCTGCCTCTGCCCTTGATTTGCTCTGTGCCCCTGGGAAAGTTCTATCATCTGAGGATCTATTATCCTGCCTGCAAAATGCTGCTGCTAATCGAGCCAGATGCCTGCGTAGCTAGGTTCAAACCAAACCGTGCGTAGTATCCAGATGGTTGCTCTGTAGCACCTGGAAGGTGCATGTGGAGAGTGATTTCCTTCCCAGAGCAGCCCTGGGCATGTGTGCAAGCACACACATGCACACACAGAGCACCCCACCAGCCCCCCAGGAGGCTAGCCAATGAGGCCACGGACCCAGCTACTTCAGCAGAGGAAAATGGGAAACGTTTATTGTCCAGGGCTCCCAGGATCCTGCAGAAAGGGTCAAGCCTCGAGGGTGGAGGAAGATGCAGGGAGCGGGGACCCGGATAAGGGTCCTGAGGCCTCCTGGGCCCGGGCCAGCCGGGTCGTGTGCTCAAAAGCTGCCTGCAGCAGGTGGGAGGCCAAGCAGGTGGTCCAGGTGACAAGGTAGGCCAGTTGCCAGCACAGACATCTCAACAGCACTGGGAGCTCCAGCACCACAAGGCTCCCCAGTAGGGCCTGCATGGGGCAGGCAAGGAGACAATCAGGTGACTCCGGAGCCCAGGGCCCCAAGCCTGCCCTCCTTAGCCCAGCGGCTTCAGCCTACCCACCTGGCAAGGCAGCCAGCCCAGGAAGCGCTGGGCCTTCCAGAAGAGCCTCCAGGCCAGCAGCAATGACAGCAAGGCCACCAGCATCAGGCTGTCCAGACAGGACTGGAGCAGGCCCCTCCAGGCAGCCACACACAGGCCCAGCCACTCACAGGCACCAAGGTGCCGCAGGGCCAGCAGCAAGGCCTGGGCACAGCCCAGCCCGGCCGCCCTAGCCAGCCAGGGTGCCCACAGCAACAGCGCCAGCCCCGTCCGCAGAGCCCGGCCTAGGGCACAGGCAGCACCTCCGGGGGGTCTAGTGGGTGGGTGCCAGGCAGGGGACCCTGGCCTCCCGGGACAGGCCCCCCACCCAGCCCCGGAAGAGGGCAATCTTCAGCAGCAGGAGCCTGTATAGGTGCACGCGGTTCTGGACCAGCTGGGGGAGAAGGGACAGCGTCATCACCCAGTGCCCCCCACCTGGGCTCAGGCCCTCCCCACTCCACGCCTCAGTTTCTCCCGTGCAAAAGAATGATCTTTCTCCACTTTTATTTTTCTTTTTGGTGGCACTGGGGATTGAACCCAGGACCTTCACACTGAACTACACCCCCAGCCCTTTTTATTTTTTGTTTTGAGACAGGGTCTCTCTGAGTCACTCAGTTATAAAAATTGGGCTCAAACTTGCAATCCTCCTGCCTCAGCCTCAGCTGGGGTAGCAGGCATGTGCCCCCTCACTGGCTTCTTTCTCCATTCTGAGAAGGGAGCTTTTAAAGTATTTTGTGTTATATTTGGCTTGCTCTCTGTTAGATTTAAACGCTTATTTACAATGCCCGGACTGAAGGAGAGGGCATTATCGTTGCGGCTGTTACTATTTGACAAGGAGTTGCCCACTCCCCCATACCTGCGAGAGGGTAGGGGAGAGCAGAGCCCGAGGACATGCTGTTTGGGATCTGGGTGGCTGAAGGACAGGGGTCCCCCACCCCCAGGAGTGGGCTGGCCAGGAGAGAGGCAGTAAGCGAGCACCCTGAGGACCCCCTCGGAGCCCCAGCGCCACCCCTGGAGTGACAGGGCCCACAGCCGGGACCCCTACCCTGTGTCCCTGGGCCTCCCAGAGCCTGGGCCTTCAGGCTCTGAAAGACTGGGCGGCCCTCAAGGGCTGGCTGTTGCCCCCCTCATGGACCAGGCTAGCAGGGGTGGGGGCCTCTGCCGGAAGGAAGGAGATTGAGGGGTCCACGGAGGAGGATAAGAATGGGGTGCAGGTAGGAGCCCCCAGCCAGGCTCAGGACTAAGACCAGGGAGAAGGGAGACTGGCAGAGCCCATGCGATCCTACAAGATCAGTTCTACAGGACAGGAAATAGAGACTCAGAGAGTTAAAGTCATTTGTTCAAAGTCACACAGCTATGAATGCTAAAGAATGACACAGCTGAGATGCCAATCCAGGGGATTAAACCAGGGCCTTCAGACTGAGCCCTAGCCCTCCCCCACTTACTTTTTTGAGACAGGCTGTGGTCAAACTTGGGATCCTCCTGCCTCAGCCTCCCATAGTGCTGGGATCACAGGCGTGCACCACCGCACTCAGCTTATCTCTTCTTTCTATCCCACAAAAAGAGACTCCCAGGACCTTGTTCTGGAAATTTGATTTGAGGTGTGGTGCCCAACCACAAGAAATTTGGAAGGGCAAAGCTGAAGCCGCAGAGTGTCCATCTACAAGGAAAACACTGGCACGGTGGCTGGGATCAGATGGTCCCTTGGGCCCGGCAGCGGGCACAGGTGGCCCATGCCCGTCCCCAGTGTCCCGCTCACTCACCAGCACCCAGAGCCCAGCAACCTGCCGCAGGACCTCCGGGAGGCTGGATCTGCCCTGGGCCATGGCCTCCATGTCTGGCTTCCTCCCGCCCAGCCGGCAGAGGCCGGGTGACCTCACAGATGCCGCTGGGTGGGGCCAGGTTACCGTGGGGACCATTTCCTGGGCTCCCCCTGAGGCCTAGAGCCCAGGCCTGGTGCCTCACAGTGGGGAGCAAAGCTCTCCTCAGGATCCTTCCCTAGAGGGGTCTGGCCGGGAGCTCAGGGCCGCTCGCCAGGGAGGCGGTCCCTGCATGTGGCAGTGGGGAGTCCGGAAGCCACGTGTGGGGAATCCAGGAGCAGGGTTTGACTCTGGGTGACTGGGGCTCAGTCTGGCTGAGAAACAGACCAGAGGACACCAGGAACCACTCACCAGAGAGGAGTGTAGGAATGGAGGCTGAGGGAGGAGGAGACCAAATACAACACAGAACACTTTAAAAGCTCCCTCCTTACAGTGGAGTTGCCCAGGCTGAGCTCAGACCTGGAATCGTCCTGCCTCAGCCTCCCAGAGTACAGGGATTACAGACAGGAACCACTACACTCAGCTGCAAGTCTTTATGATGGACAAGAAGCCGGCTGTGTTTTGCCCAAGGGGAGGCTCCCTGCCTTCCTAGGTGGTTTCACAGATAGCCTGGAAAGGAAAGTCCAGGACAAAGGGCCATTCATTGTATGTCACCTGCAAGGTGTGCAGAAACACAAAACTCATGGAGCCAGCACCCAAACTGAGGAGCAAACAGGAAAGGTAAAGTAAGGCAGGGTCAGGGGCCCCAGGGGGCTTGGGCCAGGGTGCATTAGGTGCTGCCCCCTGGTGGCCAGGGGAAGAGGAGAGGGGAGGAACGTAGGGAGGCCCGAAAAGCCCGACCCCTAAAGCTGGCTCAAAACCCTGCAACCGACCTCAGGAGCTACACTCCCAGCTCCACCCAGTCTCACCAGCCCAGATCTCAGCGTCTCCCTGTCCCCTCCCCTCCTTCCTGACCTTCCGGCCCAGTCTTCTCCAGGATCAGGGACCATGGGTCTCGCATGCCCCTGAGCCCCACCCAGGCCAGGAGCCCTACAGGTGGCGACAGCAGACCCCAACCCCCAATTTAAGATCCGTCCCCTGGGAGCCGCTCCACCCTCGATCCAGGCCTCTCTCACACACGCCCCTTTGTCTCACAGCACTAGGTTCAGGGTCATCTCTGCGACCTTGGAGTTTCACCTTGCAGGGTGACAGAGTCAGTTATCATTGCTTTGCACAAAGCCAGGGGCGCCACTCCCCGGTCCCTGCCTCCCTAGGTGGAGATCAGCGCCCAAGCCCAGGATTCCAGCCGCCTCTCAGTCCTGCCAGCCACGGAGCCACGGGATCCCAGGAGCAGACCCGCGGGTGCAGTAACGCAGTGCGGCCGCGCGGGGGCAGCAGACACCGAGGCGAGGCGGTGTGAAGTTTTTATCGAGTTTTGTTCTCGGCCCGAGAGAACACGGTGTCCCCGTGACAGCAAAGCGGGGTCCATCCGAGGGGCGCCCCTATGCAGGTCCCATGCTTGGGTTGCTGAAGGTGGGACTACCGAGAAACGATGACTGCCCTTTAGTTCCTGCTCCAGTATTAAAACTTCATTTTATTTCTTTGTCTTTGTTTTGTTTTCCTTTTTATTAGTATTTGTGATATATAATCAACACATTCATGGGGGGAACTGCTACACGTACATATAGCATCTTAATCTTTTTTACTTCCCCTTCCCTCCCCTCCTTCCCAAAGCTTCATTTTATTTCTAATCTTCACTGGGTTTTCCCTGTAAATACACAAAAATGATGGAAACACCTTCACACTTAAGGGAATATGTGTGGGGGAGGTCTTGCTAAAAATGGCCTTAGTGACCGAGTGTGGTGGCGCACACCTATAATCCCAGCACTCGGGAGGCTGAGGCAGAAGAATCACTGTGAGTTCAAGGCCAGCCTGATCTACATAGCAAGACCCTTTCTCAAAAAAGGGGGGGGGGCTTTAGCTAAGCTACTTAAATACAAAAACAATATGTAAAAACTGATGAAAAGCCAGGCATAGTGACCCACACATATAATCCCAGCCCTCTGGGAGGCTGAAGCAGGAGGCTCCCCATGAGTTCAAAGGCAGCCTGGGCTACAGAGGGAGTTCAAGGTCAGCCTGAATTAGTAGCAAGACTCTGTCTCAAAAAACAAAAAGAGAAAGAAAGAAAGTAAGTTAGTTGCCAAGAGTAGGTTTTAAATGTTCTCACCTCAAATAAATAAATACAAGAAGTAATGCGTAGGTCCAGTAGCCGGCTTCAGGCGTTGACATCAAGCTGCATACCTAGGTGTACACAGGCTCTTCCTGCCCAATAAAAACATAAAAAGAAAAAAAAATCAAAGGACCCAGTGGAGCACAAGGGCAAAAGTAATTCACAGAGAAGGAAACCAGGGAGCCAATAAGCTTAGGAGAGCAAGGCCGACCGCATCAGTACAGTTAGTAAGCAGGGAGGAATGCGGATCAAACAGCGCTCAGATACCACCCTGCCTGTCTTCAAACACGGAAGGAAGAAGGCGCACGGAGGGGTGCAGGACAGTGAGACCCTGCCGGGCAGCCAGACCCTCTGGGGTATGAAATTATTCGGTCAGCCCAGCACTCAGGAGGCTGAGGAAGGAGGATCAAGATAGTTCAAGCTCAGCCTGGGCAACTTGGTGCCTTAGTGAGACCCTGTCTCAAAATAAAGAAGGCCTGGGGATGCAGCTCAGTGTGAAGGCTGTTGTAGGTTCAATGCCCAGGACCACAAAAAAAGGAAAGAAGGACGGGAAGAGGAAGGAAGGAAGGAAGAAAAATCTGTTGAACAAGGGTGCCCATGAAACACATGTGAGGCTGAAATGAGGAATTAGCCAAAGAGACCCCGCCTTACTACGTGCAAGGCGCTCTCCCGTTTTGCCTTGCTAGGCCTCACATTGGCCAAAGGACCGTTCCCTCCCCGCCTGGCCAAGCCCCTCTGAGAGCGCCCCCTCCTGGCTGGGGCTGTCCTCAGGGAGCGAGGCGAGTAAACTGTGTGTGCTGAGGACAGCGCGGACCCCGAGGGAGGAAGCACCCCAGTCGGATTCGGCCGCCCTGCGTGACCAAGGGCAGTTACCAGGGGTAAGGGGACCCAAACAAGGGGGGGGCGGTGTCCTCCTGGTAGCTTTCCCGTGCAGCACCCCAGGAAGCACGCAGAAGAGACAGGAAGACCCTCCTGGAAGTTTTGCTCAATTCTCCAGGAAAGGTTAGAGAGTTGGAAGACCGCGTGTGCACAGGACACGGGTTTGAAGGTATGACTGGCAGTGACAGGGAGATGGAGGGTTATGTTTCTCCCAAAGGTGAGACAAAAGGAAAGAAACAGACCCCAGCGCTCCGAAGAGACCACCTCTACCTTCTCTCTGTCTTGCTCTGAACAGTGCCCAAAGGTCAGACTCAGATGCCCAGGCCATCGGAGATCTGCAAAAATGGGTGAAACGTGCCCGGAGCGGTCACAAAGACACTGCTACATGCCGTGCCCGGGCAGAGGCGAAGCAGGAAGGAAGAGTGAACCAGAAGGCAAGGAGGAGGAGGACGATGAAGGTGAAGGAGCAGCTGTCCAGTAATGGTATGTGGACTGTGTGCAGTCAGGCGATGTTTTGCTAAAACATGATTTCAAGCGCAGCTCAGCATTAGCTCCTGTATAAAAACAGCACAGTGGTGCAGGGCTGTAATCCCAGCACTCAGGAGGCTAAAGCAGAAGAGTTGCCACAAGTTCGAGGCCAGCCTGGCCTGTATAGTGACACTCTGTCTAAAAATAAAAAAGGAAAGGAAGGAAGAAAGGAAGGAAGGAAGGAAGGAAGGAAGGAAGGAAGGAAGGAAGGAAAAGAAAGAAAGAAAGAAAGAAAGAAAGAAAGAAAGAAAGAAAGAAAGAAAGAAAAGGAAAGAGGGCCAGGGATTTAGCTCAGAGATTTCGCCGCCTGCTGTGCAAGCACAAGGACCAGTGTTCGATCCCCAGTACCAAAAAAAAAAAAAGAAAGAAAGAAAAGGGAGGAAGGAAAGAAGTCAAGCAGACTCTGGCCCACTCCCAAGGCTTAGGGCTGGAGGGGACTGAAGAGCGAGAGGGAAAGTAACAGAAGAGTTGAGCAGGGGTCCTGCTATGACAAGGAATGGAGTCCTGGGGGGGTCAGTGGGGGTCCACGCCCGGAGGAGCAGAGCAGGAGCCAGAAACTGTGGCTCCCTCCAGTGGCCCCATGGCAAGTCGTGTCCCCCACAGAGCACAGGAGCCGTGTTGGGGTCACCGGTGTCCTGGCCAAGAAGTAGCCGCTGGCCCAAGGGGCAGCAGAGACCAGCGCCTCTGCCCCCGCCCCGCCCACGGCCGGAGGTGGCCATGTGACCCGTGGCCACCAGGATGACGCAGAAGGCCCAGGCCGGGGCTCCCCACGAGGCTTTTGTCAAGGACTGGACTCAGCAGACGGAGCTTTTTGTCTGTCCTCCCCCCACTTCCGGTCCGTGGGGAAGGCGGCAGAGAGGAAGGACCACGGCCCCCAGCCCACAGTGCGCGTCTGTTTCTCCCGTGACGCCTGTGAACGCCTCCGTGCTGGGGCTCTGAGGGCAGGTGTCTGGTTATTTGCGACAGCACTGGGATTCACCGTGCTCTCCATTTCCGCCCTAGGACTGGGCAGACTGGGTGTGGATCTTGGGTGGCGGTGCTGGAACTCGGGGTTTCCCTCACTGTCGCCGAAACTCCAACCACTGCCCCAGCGGCGGGGTCGGCATGGCTTTGCCGGTGTGGGCGCCTAGCTGGGTGGAAAAGGATGGCCCAGCACCGGAGGCCCTGGTTCAAGGGTGCTGGCTTAATTCCCAGGAGGAAAGAAGGAAGGGAGGGAGGGAAAGAGAAAGGGCTGAGAAGAAAGGAGGAAGAAGGGCTGGGGATTTAGCTCAGTGGTTTTGCCGCCTGCTGCGCAAGCTCAAGGACCCGAGTTCGATCCCTGGTACCAAAAAAAAAAAAAAAAAGGAGGAAGGAAGGGGTCATGGCGGCATTAAGGAAACTAAATGCTGATAGCTGCTACGTTAGAGAAATCCTGCCATTTCTGCACCTAACACATGAGAGTTTACTTCCGTTCTGGCTGTGGGGAAGATCCAGGCGCCTTCCTTCTGCCACCTCAACCTCCTCTCTGAACCAGGCAGGATGTGTTTGCGGTCCAGGTCCGGAAGTGGACCGTTCCGTGTCCTTCCACAGGTGCGGCTAGGAGCCACCGCATGGCCACACCCACCTGCCTGGAAGACCTCCGAGGCCGCAGGCCGCAGGCCAGCGCTGAGCTCTCTGCTCTCATTTTTACCCCTCTTTGCAACACTGGGCTCGGTGGTCACCCCTGTCTTTTCGAACCCCTGTCCTGGGTGCCTTCTCACTCTAGTTTCCACCCTCTCCCAGGCTCAAGTCTCTGTCTGGCATTAAAGAGTTGGGTCAGGGCGTGGTGGGGCACGCCTACCTGTAATGCCAGAACTCTGCAAAGCTGAGGCAGGGGGATTGTATGCTTGAGCCCAGCCTGGGTAACTTAGCAATGTAGGTATATCTTGTCTCAAAATAAAAATTTTTAAAAGGGCTGGGGATGTAGCTCAATGGAAGGCCCTTGGCTCAATCCCCAGTAATGGCAAAAGACAGAGACAGAAAGAGAATATATCTTGGACTTCAGCTAGCCCAGCAGACACCTCAAATGCAACATCCACAAGCATTCAGACCCCATCACCCTAACCCTGCTCCCTCTCCTGCACTTCTTGCGTTAATCAAGCTGAATGACCATAGCTATTGCATTTGAAGAACCCCGAAATCTCAGCTGCAGAATGCAGTGAATGTTTACTTCCTGTTCTGTTCATGTCACAGTTGGTCCCGGGTAGGCTGTTGGAGGATAATGCTCCACGCAGCCATCTTGGACTCAGGTGCCACCTAAGTTATCATTTCCAGTTAATGACACACCCACCCCAAGGTGCTGCAGAAAGTGGTCACCACTGCGACAGCCCCCAACCCTTCCAAAATAAGGTGACCCTTACACGGATTGTATGGGCCAGCGCTGTTTTTCAGTGTGCTGCAGAGAAAGCACTTGGAGGGTGTGCTGATACCCAAGGAGTCCTGCCCCGAACTGACTTCAAGGATGGTCCAGGTGGGCTAGGGATGGGTGTTGTTTCCAACAGGAGCCCCTAAGCACCGCCCCTGGAGGAACCCAAGGGGAGTCCTGCAAGTCAAGATGGAACTGTGGGCCAGGGCTCCCTGGGTGCTCCAGTATGTCTGCCACTTGCCACATGTGACTTTTTTTTTCTGTACCAGGAATCGAACTCAGAACCCTGCACTTGACAGGCAGGTATGGTGCCACTGAACTACATCCCTGGCCCGTGACTAAATTATGAAAACAAAAAAAAGTTCAGCACACACCTTAATTCCAGAACTCTAGGAGGCCAAAGCAGGAGGATCAGTCAGGGCAATTATGCAATTTAACAAGACCCTCAAGAAAATTTTTTTTTAATTTTTTTTACAAAGTTAGGAATGCCTGTAATCCCAGCACTCAGAAGGCTGAGGCAGGAGGATTGCCACAAGTTCGAGGCCAGCCTGGGCTACCTAGTGAGTTAAAGGCCAGCCTGAACTACATAGTGAGAACCTGTCTCAAACAAAACGAGAGAGAGAGAGAGAGACAGAGAGAGAGAGAGACAGAGAGACAGAGAGACAGAGACAGAGACAGAGAGAGACAGAGAGGAGAAAGCGGGAATGTAGCTCAGTGTGAAGGCTCTGGCTTCCTCAGATCCACTAGATGAATTTCAAGCTCTCAACAGCCGCTTGCTATGAGACATTCCCATGATCGATGGTGGTGCTAAGGGATTCTTCCTAGTCTGGAGGAGGGACAAAAGCCTTGAGATGATTGGCTGGTGCTAGAGGCGTGGTGTCAATGCTTGGCTTTGATTGGGCATTTTGTCTTAATGGAAACCAACCATCATCGAGGGCATCTGGGCGTGGCTAGGTTTACTGTGAGGCCCTGCCCCAAGTTCCGGAGCCCACTGACCCCTGGCGGGTTAGATCCTGGTCGAGTCCTGACCGTCTGCCCCCTTATACACCGTTCCGCTCTGCATACAACTCTGCATGCGACCCCATCCCCGACCACGGAGTGAAGGGCGGTCGGGCAAGTCTCCCTCCCACCCCTGAGTGAGGGGCAGTCGGGCAGGTCTCCCTCCCACCCCTCCCTCCCTACTCCTTCCCCCTCATGCCAGTCCTGCAGCCCTCTGTGAACTGGGCTGGCGGTGGGGGAGCAGGAGGCTGATGTGGGCCTGGGGACAGGGAGGTGGTGTCCCCATAGGAGGATGGCCCAGGAGGAGGGTGGAAGGCTGAGGTGCTGGAACGGGTTGGGGCCTCGAAGGGCATCACAGACCTGGCCCGAAAGCTCCAGTTTTATGACCCTTGGGCTCCTGACTACGACCAGGTAAACTCACCTGGGTCCTCGCCTCCACTTGTCCAGCCTTGACTTCTTTTTCTGTAGAGTGGGAATAGTGGGCCTGGCATCCCTGGTGCTGTGAGGATGGAAGTGAGACCTGGGTGAGAATCTCAGTTCTGCACCTTCCAGAGAGCACAGGACCCTCTCTGCCCCTTACAGTGGCCCCGCCAGCTCTAGACCTGCAGCCCCATCAGGGGCCACACACTGAGACAGAACTCAGACGCAGGGTCTACCTGGAGGAGGTGACATCTCGGGCTGTCTTCGGATGCAGCAGAGCAGGTCCCTGAGAGGGTGAGCCAAGGGGCTAGGGACTCCACACTGGGTCACCTCTCACTGTGTCCCCAGCAGGGCCAAGCCCCCAGCACACACCAGCCTAGGCTGGCAGGATCTGGCCCTCCCCACAGGCGCCTGCACCCTGGGCGCTGGTGGAGTTAGGCTCTGCACTCTGTCCCCAGGATGTGGCTGCTCTGCCGAACCGTGCACCCAGCCTCGCCGTGGACTGCCTTACCCGAGCCCTGCCCCCCCACCCCACACAGTCCTAATCCTGGATGTGCCCTGTGGTAGGGGCCTGGTGGCTGCTGAGGTGAGGCCTCCCCAGATCTCCATCCTCTCTTCAGACTCCCATTGTTCAGATTTCCTGCGCTCACGGCCGGGGATTTAGCTCAGTGGCACTGTGCCTGCCTGGCAAGCGAAAGGTCCTGAGTTCGATTCCCAGTACCCAAAAAATCCCAAAATTTCCTGGGCCCAGAACTCTGCCTTCCCTCTCAGACCCATTGGTCCCAATCACAGGCGCTGCAGGGCCACTGTCCTCCAGGGTACAGGGGACCCTGCTGGGAAATGTCAGGACCTGAGCTGTGACCAAGTCCCCCACCCCAGCCACAGGGTCGGGGCTTCCTGCAGCTGCATGGGGTGGACGGGAGCCTGAGGATGCTGGACCAGGCCCGGGCCTGTGCCCTTTACCAGCAGCTCAGCCTCTGCATCCTGGGCCAGGAGCCTCTGCCCAGCCCTGAAGGTATTTCCTCTCCTGCCCCAGACGCCCCAAGGCCTGCCCTACACCCGCCTTCCCAGGAAGCGAGCCCCTTTCTTTTGGCCACTGAGCCCCCATCCACCCTGCTGAGTTCTGAGCCTGTCACGGAGGCCCCCAGCCAGGGCCTGACATCAGCCCAGGACTGGGCCATAGCACCTGTCTCCGGCCTGGATTAGGGCCCTGAGACACAGGTGGCAGCCCCGCCACGGAGCACAGCCTCCAAAGTGGTCTGAGGCCATGCTGCAGACCAAGCACCGCACGGCACCCCCTCCTCACCACAGAGGCCTTAGACGCATTGTTGGTGATAGGTGCCCTCGGTAACCGCCAGGTGCCCTGCACTGCCATTTCAGAGCTCCCACGGGTCACCAAGCCAGGTGAGGCGACTCCCGCCCTCCATGCACACCTTCCCCTCCACACATCAGCCCTTCAGGCCAAGTGAGGGCCAGGGAACTGCTCGGAGTGGCCCAGCCTAGCCCAGCATCCCAGCCACCTGCTGCTACCACAGATGCAGGGGCACAGCAGGGCAGACAGGTGTCCAGCTCACCTCCAAGGGCAGCCGGAAGCAACTCCCCCTCCTTTTGGTCCCCGCTCCCTCCCCTGTCAGCAGGTGACCCCATCCCCGTGATCCCTCCCCCCAAAGGATTGCAGACAGTTGTGTGAACTCAGGCCCCAAAGGCCTTCGCTTCTGCTTCTGTCCTGGCATGCAGTAGGGCTCAGTTCCGTCCTTTGACCTCCAGTTCCCTCACTAACTCATAGCTGTGGTTAGCGCAGTCTCTTTCTTCCTCTCAGTTCCCCATCCGGGCTCCAGGCTGCTCTGTGAGGTTAGGATGTGGCGCTTCCTGCGGCTGCACACTGAGCAGGCCACCCTGAGCAGGTGTTGTGCTCGCAGTGGTCCTCCTGTGTGCTGCTCTGCTCTGCCTGGGGCAGAAGGCACAGACCCTGCCCTCTGAGCCCCCATTGCCAGCCCAGCAAGGCCTGGGCAGGCCAGGGGTGACCCCACGAGGCCACGTGGGCTCCGTGCTGGAGAACTGAGAGTCCACAGGGGACCTTCCCAAGGGCACAGCCAATCACAAGGAGGGTGGCATGTGGACTGGGAGGCACTGCCCTGCAGCAGGGCAGAATCAGGAAGTCAGAAGGTGAAAATGCTTCCTGTCTCCCAGCCTTCTGTAGCCCTGCAGTGAGCGAACGCGTCTGGGCAGGCTCCGGCTGCCAGCAGTTCCAGCCCAGTGGGGTCACCAAGGAGACACTGGGGTTGGGTCAGGAGGATGGGAATTCCTGCTGTGTGAACTTGAGGGCCAGCCCTGCTAGCCCAGCCGGGGATGGCCGGTCCCCGTCCACCTGCTGTGAGGGACAGGGCCCCCTGCAAGCCTGTGCTTCACCGAAAGGGGCACTGCTCCTCCCTGCATGGCCGGGGGTTGCCAGCTTCTCTCCTACCAAGGGCGTCCAAGGCCACAGTGGGCACGCAGAGAAGAAAAGTCCTTCCTCCCATCAGGCCTTACTTAGTGACTGTGCAGGTGTTCTGCACCCACACTCTGGCCTTCCTGAGGGACAGAATAATCCTCCAGTCTCTGCCTTGCTGGGAAACTGAGGCTCATGAAGTACAGGGACCCCCAAGGTCCAGCACTGGGGTGCTTCCTTCCTGTGTATCCTGACCCAGCTGCGTCCTCCATCAGAGGGACATTGTGAGCAGTGACAGGGAGGCCACTAGCCAGGGCATTGGGTGAAGAATTCCTAGGGTCAAGGACACCTGTGCTTTGTTGTTGTTGTTTGTTTTGTTTTGGTACCGGGGATCGAACTCAGGACCTTGTGCTTTTGAGGCAGCACCACTGAGCTAAATCCCTGGCCCCAAGGACACCTGGGCTTTGAAGGGAGCAGAGGAGGCCGCTCAGATGAGGAAACAAAGGGTGTTCCTTCCTAGCAGGGGGAGGTGGAAGAAACTGAGCTGGGACAGAGTTGGAAGCTTCGGCAGCCTTGAAGCCACGCCAGAGAGGGACAGGCCTGGGACTGTGTCCCCAGACTCCCCTCCCTCGCCGCGTCCCCTCCACCCCGTGAAGACGGGCTGGTGTGTCTGACCACCAGGACCAACCCGTCCAACCTTCTGTACAAGGAGGCTCTGGAGGCCACCCTGGACCAGCTGGAGCGGGATGGTGGCCCAGCCTGTGGACCACTGGGAACTGGCCACCTCCACCCTCAAGGTGGTGCCTGCCACCTGTGTCAAGGATGGCTTCATCTTGGGCATCATCTACCTGTACTGGAAGTGGGGGTGAGGCCCGGCCCCCAGCCCGAGGCTGGCTCTGATCCTCTGTGCCCAACCCTGCCCCTCAGAAATGCTCTGCCTATTAAAGGGACCCCCAGAAGGGATGAGAAGACTCGTGGGTCTGCAGTTCCCTGGCTCCAGGAAAGTGCCGTGGGTCCCTGCGTTACCAAGGCAGGCTCAGTGCCCCAGCCAGGACGCCTGGCCCGAAGCCCAGAGCTTTCCAGAGTTGCTTACCAGCAGGTGAATAGGAAGAGGTTCAGCTGCTGGTCTCCAGTGTGTCTCCCCAAGGACTGGGTTTAGGGGTACTTGTGGGAGGAAGACACTGGGGTGGGTCTCTAGACACCTGGGGTGGTGCACACCTGTAATCCCACTCCTCTGGGAGGCTGAGGCAGGAGGATCAAAAGTTCAAGCCCAGCCTGGACAACTTAGTGAGACCTTGTCTCAAAATAAAATTGAAAGAGGGCTGGGGATGTAGCTCAGTGTGAAGGCCCTGGGTTCCATCCCCAGTAACACAGGAAGGAAGGGAGAAAAGACGGGAGGAAGAAGGGAGGGAGGCAGGAGGAACTGGGTGGTGTGATGTGCAGCACCATGATGAGGGGAGGGAGGCGCATGTCCAGCGGTCTCTCCAGACGAACAAACCTGGTGACTCTTCCTGTTCAGAAAACACCCACCTTCCATGCTCTGTGACATCAAAAGGTGGATTATCTGACACTTGGGCACCTCGGGGAAGGGCTGGGTAACCTGATTGAGTCAGACAAGGCCATCTCCAAATACCTAAAGACACACACACACACACACACAAACACACACACACACACACACTGAAAACAATGCTCACCCAGGTAAGCATACATCAGAAGTGTTATCTTTAGTAAAGCCAGCAGAGTGGATTCTGTTTCCTCCTGAGTTTCAAAAGCAAGAACAAGCTCCTTGATTTTTAAATTTTAGCTCAGGGCCTTGGGATATGACTCGGTGGTAGAGGCAAGCCAGAGGCTCTGGGTTTGGCCCCTAGCACTGCAAAAACTAAAATAAAATGGCAGGTTGTGGTAGCCCGCACCTGTCATCCCGCACTCTGAGAGGCTGGGGCAGGAAGATCACAAGCTCAAGCCCAGCCTGGGCAACTTTGAAACTTAGTAAGACCCTGTCTCAAAAAAGTTTTAAAGAGCTGGGATATAGCTTAGTGCCCCTAGTTCAATCCCCAGTATCATAAAAAGATAAATAAAATTTTAACTAGTGACAAGCTAAGGCTCTACCTAAAAATAAATAAATAAACTGGGGAGGGAAAATGGCTCAAGCCTGTTACAAAAGAAAAGTGTGTTAATTCCACGGTCACACCTGTGGGTCCGAGAGGAGACAGGTGTGTAGGAGCACGGGACCACATGGTGGCATCGTGACTTCCACCAGCTGCTGACCCCTCACCTCTGACTCACAGTGGAGACACTGAGGCTGGGCCCTGTTAAGCCAGGCTGTGGCCTGGGGCTGCCTGGGCCTGCCTGGGCCAAGCAGGTCAAAGGGCTTGGGACAGATCAGGGTCATGGGAAGGCTTCATGAGGGAGGCAGCTCAGCGGGGCCTTCAGGACCCGCAAGATTAGGAGGGCGGAGGAAGAAAAGACACATTCCAGGCCAAGGGCGGGGAAGCCCTGCAGCTCCGACAAAGCGGGGGCGGAGCGGGGCGCAGGTCCCTCCTTGGGAGCTCCCATCTGACCCTGCTGGAGTCCCCAGCCCTGCCCGGGGTCCTGGGTCCTGTGGGCCCAAAAACGAAGAGCCCTGAACGGACCTTTTCAGAGGTCGATTTTCTTCGGCAGTCCTGGCACAGCGGCCCTGCCCTCGCTACTCCTGCCCAGCCCTGCAGCCCCACACCGCCCACCTGCAGGCCTGGGATCAGAGACAACACATGGGCCTCCTGTGCACAGGTTCATTTATTGTAGAAAATAATAATTACAGTGATGAATACAACGTCTTAAATTACAAAAACAAACCAGAGGGAAGGCAGGGGAAGTCCTGGGACCCTCCCCCAAGCCTACCCAAACCTGTTTATTCCACCTTCACCCCTCCCACAAACCCGTCCATCCAGTCTTTGCCACTCTGGGACAGGTGGGTGGGAGGCCCTGGCTCTGGCTCTTGCTCGCGGGTGGGACAGGTTTCCACTGCGGCAGATTTCCACGTCGTGATCACGGATCCACCCAGACACCTGCCATCCACCGTCCGTCAGGCCAAGGCCTGGGGCTCCCAGGAACGTGGGAAAAGTGGCAAGAGAAGAACTGCAGTGACAGAGGGATGAGGACAGGAAAGGGATTGCAGCCAACACTGGGGTGGGCAGGGCCCCTTGGAGAGCCTGAGGTTGGGCTGAGCGGTCCTGGCCAGCAGGAGCCAGCTCCCCAGGCCACCCCACGCCATGTGGATTCCCCCCTCTCCCCGTGTCCACCACAGTGCGGAGGGGGTGGCTGGCTCAGGAGTCTTCCTGTCCATCCCGCCCAAGGGGAAGAGGCCATGGTGAGGTGGGCAGGAGCCAGCACAGCCCAAGGGCTGCTCCGTCCCTGCTTGTCCATCTGTGGCAGGGCCATCCTGGGGTCACTGGCTGGATGGGCGGAGTTCAGGCCAGGGAAAAACAAAGCCGAAAGGGACAGCAGCACGCAGCTCCTACACGTAGTTGGTGGTCGTGGCAGAGCGGGCGGCCGAGTACTTGGCTGAGTAGGGCTTGTCAGTGCGGGGTGGGCAGTTGCAGCACAGGAGGGCGCCCCCGAGCAGCAGCAGCCCCGAGGCGGCCCAGCCGATGTAGAGTGCGGCCCCCATCTCCCGCTTCTGCCCCGAGGCCACCAGCGGGTTGTAGAAGTCGCGGATGATGTTATTGGCCATCCAGGACACCGGCACTATGGCCAGCACGCCGGCCAGCAGGAACACCACGCCCGCCACAATCATGGTCTTGGCCTTGGTGGTCTCGTCCTCCAGGCAGTTGGTGCACTTGCCTCCGACCACGGACAGCAGCATGCCCAGCGCGGCCACGATGATGCAGACCACCATGAGCGCACGAGCCGCCTGCAGGTCCTGCGCCAGCGCCAGCAGCGAGTCGTACACCTTGCACTGCATCTGGCCGGTGCTCTGCACCACGCAGTTCATCCACAGGCCCTCCCAGTTGGTCTGCGCCGTGACGATGTTGCTGCCGATGAAGGCCGACACGCGCCACATGGGCAGCGCGCAGCTCAGGATGGCCCCCAGCCAGCCCAGCACGGCCAGCGCCAGGCCCAGCACCTGCAGCCCCATGGACGCCATGGCTCGGCGGCTGAGGGTCGTAGGCTTCCTAGTGAGGAGTCTGAGCTCCACCGGGGGAAGGGAGAGCCTTTCCCCAAGAGGCCAGACAGACAAAGCCAGTCGCTGCCGCCGCCACCTGCCGGCCTCAGAAAGTGTGACCCGACCAGTGCCTTCCCGCCGCCGCCAGCTGCCGCCAGCAATGAGGACACAGGTGCAGTTATACGCCTCTGGAGGAGGGGCGGGACAGAGGAGGGACGGATCCCAGGGGCCGCCCCCTGACCAGTTTCTCTGGATTCCTGAGCCATGGCCAACAAAGAAAGGCACAAAGGCCCCAGGCCCCTGAGTCACCACCAGTCTCAGAAGAAACTGCCCTCTCCCCCGTCCCCGTGCCCAAGCTGAGCTCAGCCAGGAGACAGACACTGAGTCACGCACGGCCCGGGCACCTGACGTTCTGGGGGCAGATAAGCAGGGGTGGCAGCCGGGCCCAGCTGAGGTGAAGCAGGACCTGAAGACCAGAAGGCCTCACACCAGGCTTGGGTGGGAGGAGAGGGCGGGACCCTCGGGGGAGAATCTGATGATGAAGTCCTGGGAGTGTCAAAGAGAAATTCCACCTTGATGACACCCGGTCCTTATCACTTTCCTCACATGGCACCAGTGCTGCTGCTATTATTATTATTATTATTATTATTACTATTATTTTTTTTTTTTTTACCATCATCATCTGTGCATCTGGCCTTGCCAGCAACTTTCCCGGGATCAGTGGAGGAGTTGTTGTGGGATGAGGACCAGGGGACCCTCCCATGTCCCTCACGCAGTGGCCCGGGCTCAGCCAGGGCTGACGGGCTTGGAGGTGATGCCCTTTGGGGCCAGGGCAGAAGGGACAGAACCAGAACCTGCTTGGCCAGAACTGGGTAGGGAGAGCAAGCAGGGGCCAGACCCGGGGGTATCATCCACCCAGTAAATAAATGGTGCTTATGCTGCGGGGACAGAGCCTTCCCCTAGAGCCCGGCCAGGTGCAACTGCTGCGACTTCAAAGGGAAGAACTCAGGTTGGGATGGCTTGGGGGGGGGCTGGACAGTGAAGGGGTGCTGTGTGCCGAGCACGACTCCCGGGGGCGCTACACTCTCGGGTTATGGAGCAGTGGGCACCAAGTAACACCCCAGGGAGTTGTGTGGGGTGGGGGTGGGTCCAGCTCTTTCTGTGGAGCCAGGAATCCAGTTTGACCGAGACTGGGCCGGTGGGGAGGGGCCGGAGTGAAAGGATCGCAGGTGTCTGCCTCAGGAGTCCCCGAGCCCTGACCTGGGCACGGAGGACGGAGATGATGAGCAAGGGCATCGGGGGCAGGCTGAGGGGTCCACACACCTCCCAAGGCAGCTTGGGAAGCAGGTGCGAGGGGGAGAGGCCGGCAGGGATCCAGGGTCAGGTTCCCTGCGAGGGGAGCGCAGCCAGGACTTCCCACCGGGAGCAGGGTGAGGGCCTGGAGGTCAGTGACTCCGGGCCAGGGCTCTCTGGCACCCCTGAGCTCCCCACTACCGAGTCCTACGGTGGCTGTGTGTCCATTTCCTTTTTATTTTTTTGGAGAGAGGATCTTGCTAAGTCACTACATTGCCCAGGCTGTACTCAAACCTGCCATCCTCCTGCCTCAGCCTCCCAGAGTACTGGGATATCAGCCCTGTGCCACCACATACAGCTTCCGAGTGTCCAGTTCCAACCCACACAGACAAGTGGCCCCCTCAGCTTCCCGAGGGAGAATCACTGACTGTGGCCAATCAGGGTTGACGAGCTTCCTCTGTGAGCACCAGGCATGTGGGGGTCATTGGGCTGGGTGACCATGCGGGCTGGCCGGACAATCTGTTACAGGCAGGGAAGGTGACACACCTGTGTTTCCCCAGCTGGCGGGGGCTCCCGGAGGACACAGCAGTGTCCTACTTAACTGCAGCCTCACATAGGTACACAGGGAATGTGTGATCACAGAACCAGGGAGGCGGCCCCACTAGGGCCCTCCACACCTGCCCCACCCACAGGGATGCAAACAGGGACAGTTTCTGCTGGCCACACCTCCCTGCCAGGGCTTCCTTACAAGGGCTCTAAGGAGCCCTGGGGCCTGATCCCCTGGAGAGGGAGAGCACCCACCCGATCCACGGGAACCCTTTCCTGTGACCTCATCTCAGCCTCGCGCCAGCAGGCCAGTGGTAAACTGAGGCCGGGCTAAAGCTGGGGTTTGCCAGGCCAGTGAGCCCCCTCCAGGTGGCCCCACCTGCGGTTTCTGCCCAGCACAGATGGCCGACACCCCCAGCCCGCACCCCTCCTCCACACTTCCGGCTGTGCCTCTCCTGGACCACGCGGCCAAGGCGGGGGAGGGGAGCGCAGCCAGGACTTCCCACCGGGAGCCCACGGAAGCGACCAAGCCACTGGCCTCCCTGCCGGGCCCAGCCAGCCGATCAGAGACAGGGGCTGGGGGGAGAGAGCTGTCGTTCGGAGATGCCCAGTCAGCTGGCCCCGTCCTGCCCACAGCAGGAGAAACACCACCCGCCAGGCCACCTGCACGCTCAGCTCCTCTCCCGAGCCTTGCTGGGAAGACAGAAATCCTCCTCCACCCTGGCCTCACCGCCCTGCCCTCCTACAACTGCTGCTGCCGGTTATCACCTTTGGGTCACTCGGGGCTGATGCTTGCTTTGTTCTTCTCCTCAGCACGTTCTGTCCAAGCTGATGCCGATGAGATGGTGTGGTCACAAACACCCTTTCTACCAGGTTTGCTCAGCTGGTCCTGCCCACAACCCAAACCCATCTTGCTCTCTTTTCTTTTTTCCTTTATTCCAGTACCGGGGATTGAACCCAGGACCTTTCACTGAGCTCCATCCCCAGCCCTTTTTTATTTTTTATTTTAAGGCAGGGTCTCCTCATTCACTTGCTAAGTTGCCCAGGCTGGGATCAAACTTCTGATCCTCCTGCCTCAGCCTCCCAGAGTGCTGGGATTATAGCTGTGCACAGAGTACCAAAACGTCCCTCGTGGTGGGGAGGAATGACTTTCACATAAGCCGCTCATCTAGCTTTTAGGTTTTCTGCGCCCAGGAGATGTGGGTGTGACAGCTGCAGGACTTCCGCATGCTCAGACCAGGGAGACGCCTGGGCCTCTGATGGGGCCACTGCTCAACATCCAGCCCAGGCCCTGGGCCCAGAAGGTGGCAGCGTGGCTCAGGGTTCAGGGGGGCTTTGGCTGTGCCCTGCGGGATTCCCAGGGTGCAGGCTCGGGTTGTGCGGTGGCTCTGAGGAGTCCAAGCCCCCACCTGCCAGGCTGGGGACACTGCACCTCCCTCCTCTGAAGTGCATCCTGAGTCAGCCTCCACTGCAAGGGGGAGCTCAGGTCCTCATTCAGGAGGAGGTGGAGGCTCGCAGATGGGGTTGCCAGTGGATGTGCACTTCAGCTGGGTCCTCAGCTTTTCCACCCCCGCCCTCCTTACAGTTGATTGGGGGGTCAGTGCACACATCCTCAGCAGACAGAGAAGGAAGTCGAGGCTCAGGGCTGAGCCCAGGGCTGCTAGGAGTCGGGCATGGTGATGCAGAATCTGTAAATCAATAAAAAAGTAAAATTAAAGAAATTAAAGGAGCTACACAGAATGAAAATAAAGTATCTATTAAAAAACAAAAAAAATTTTTTTTATAGAATTCACTAAGAGCTCAGTTCACAAATTCCCCAGCCACTACAGACAGAGGTAAAGACCCTATATCTTTTTTTTTTTTTTGGTGCCAGGGATCGAACTAGGGTCCTTGTGCTTTCAAGGCAGGCTGCGGAACCACTGAGCTAAATCCCCAGCCCTACCCTATATCTTTTTGTTGTTGTTGTTATTTGTTTTTGTTTTTTGAGGCAGTCTCCCTATGTAGCTCAGGCTGGCCTCAAACTCATGGCGATCCTCCTGCCTCAGCCTCCTGATCCTATATCTTTTTTAACCAGAGACAACGCCATAATTATAAAACTTTACAAAGTAAAGGGCTCACAAAAGAATGTCGTGGAATGTAAAATGTCCTTCCTCCAAGTGTACCGTGTTTCCTGGTCACTTCAGAGCTGGGTCCCCCACTTTGGGCCCTCACGGGGGCTGGGCCCTAGGCTGGGGTGGTCACATTCAGGGCAGGACAGGGTGGCTCCTTCGTGTCTCTCTTGGGAGAGGACCCAGCACCCCTGGGTGGGTCTGAACTCTGCTCCTAGTAGCAGTGAACATTGGGCAAGAGGTCACCTCTGGACCAAGTTCCTGACCTGTGGAAGGAGGTGACCGGCCCATTCTCCTGGTCACCAGGCGCTCTGTGAAGACGGAGGACCAAGGCCCGGAGCTGATCCCCTGTGGCCACTGAGGCCCTTCCAGGCCCCTGTGTGGAGGCCACAGCCGTGGCCCTCATTCCAGCAGCCCAGCAACCTAGACTGGCCGAGCAGGTGCTGCGCCCAGGCCAGGCCCCACATGCTGGCCACATCAGGGTGACCTGAGGGAAGACAGAAAGTCCCCCTCCAGCCTCTGGGCTGGAGTCCCAGGGTGCAGTAGCTTCCAGGAGGAGAGAGGGGGCTGTGTGAAGAGGAGGGGCCGCCCGGTGTGGTGGCGCACACCTGTGATCCCAGCACTGGGGAGGCTGAGGCAGGAGGATTGTCATGAGTTCGAGGCCACCCTATACCACACAGCAAGATCCTGTCTCAAAAAACAACAAAAGAGGTCCCTTCTCCCACCCCGCACTCCCTCCTGCTCCTCAACTTCTGGGAGGTCCTTGTCTTTCCCAGGTTCTCCCAGGCTGGTGAGGGGAGAGCATTCAGAGGCCACGGAGTCCCACACAGCTCTCCCAGGCTCACTCAGCAAACCCTGTAGGAGCACCTGCTAGTCTGGACCAGGCTCCCGGTTGGGTGCCTTCCTGTAGCAGGAAATCACCCTATCTTCCCAGAAAATGACTCAGGACCATTAACTGTCGCTCTCATTTTCCTCAGAGCAGAGAGGACAAGGGCTCTACTCTCTTTCTCTCTCGTATTGCTCTTTGTTAATGTGTCCTTTCAGGAAGGGGACCCTGAGCTCTGTCTCGAGGAGGTGGAGCCAGGGCCTAGGGTCCTCCCAGCTGCATTTTGGGGGAAGGGAGGCCGCGGGGAGCCGGCACCCTGGGCAGGGCACTCTCCAGATGACGCTGGTTCTCAGAGACGCCATCTGCTTTTGTGACACACGACCGGGGAAGAGAGAAACAAGCAGGCTGAGCTTGGGAGCGACTCCTGGTCGGCAGCCAGTGAGTCAGCGGTGACAGGGACAGAACCTAGAGCCCGGGATCCGGAGCTTCTGGCCCCGGCCGTGACTCGGCGATCCGAGCGCCCCGCCCCCACCCAGGCCCCCGGGCCGGGCAGCGGGGGCCAGGAGGGGGCGGGGCAGGGCGCGGCCGGGCTCTGGGTGAGGCCGGAACTGCTTCATTGTGCAGGACTGGAACATTCGAAGGCGAAGGCGCCCGACCCGTGGGCCCATTAGCCTCCCTCGCTCCTCCCTCTCTCCCTCCCTCCCTCCCTGTCTCTCAGACCACCACGCCCGGCAGCTGCCTCCGACCGGTCCCTACCCAGCGTCTCTCCGCTCCGGGTCCCGAAGCCCCACCTTGCCGCAGGTGTGCACCAGGCCGGTGTTTCTCTCCGCTCGGCTCCGCCGTCTGG